TGTTCTTTCTACTGTCTGTGTCTGAGGTACCATCCCTAAGACCCCCTATCAAAGAGTGGAAGGTAGCTACAGGGACTCGATTTGCTTCTGAACCTTTTCTAGAGCTTTTCTGTCCAGCTGCCCCTGACGAATGATGACAAGGCAAGCCAAGACCAAGGCAAGCCAAGACCAAGGCCACACCCACGACTGGTCCCTTCAAATTTTCAGAATTAAGTGTTGTTCCGTCAGAGCTGAGAGGCAGCTTTTGAATTCATTCCTCTTAGATGAGCTGCCTGTGATTTTCTCCACATACCCGGTCCACTCAGGGGTGGTTTTAGCCTGGGAACCAGAGCATGGCGCACATTCCCCTGCCGCCACAAACTCTCCACCGGCCAGCACGGCCAATCTGAGGTGCACACTGACAGCTTCTCCCTGCGCACAGGAGCCTCGGCTTGGCAGAGAGCGTAGGAGAAAGCGCAGAGCAGCCGCCAGAGGTGGCAGCCCTGGGGGCAGTCGCGCCTCCCTCCGCCGGCAGGCACACAGCGCTCAGGCAGCCACACAGCGCTCAGGGTCGCGCGGTCCGGACAGAGGGACTTGGGAGGCCGGTCTCGAGCTTTGTTTCCACGGCAGCCTTCAGGAAGTTCCAAGTCGGCGCAAAATGCTGAGCCTGCCCATGAGGGCAAAGGCATGACTGGGACATCCCCATGGCCACGGCAAGAAAAGCCAACACGCATTCGTTGGACTGGGCTGGGAACTCCCTTCTTCAGGCCATGCGGCCCTCCGGAAAGGCCAAGGGGCACACGGCTTAGCGCCCCGTCACTTCCGGGCTGTCCTGGCCGCCGCCATCTTGCCCGGCGGAGGATGCCCTCAACTTTTTAAAAAAATATTTTATTTTAGAGAGAGTGAGCAAACGAGCGAGCGAGAGCCTGTGAGCAGGGGAGGGGGGTAAAGAGCAGAGGGAGAGGGACAAGCAGACTCCCCGCTGAGTGCACAGCCTGACGCAGGGCTCCATCTCAGGACCCTGAGGATCACGACCGAGCTGAAATCGAGTCCGATTCTTAACCGAGTCACCCAGGCACCCCTCAAATGTAAACTTTTCAGTAAGCATATGGTGGTCATACTGGTATGGCAATTCTGAGACTGCCATAGTTAAAGTGAGATCAAGCAAATGAGCAGTTGTGGGGCGTGGCTTTCTAATTTTATTATTACCCTCAATATTTTTTAAAAATATTTTATTTGAGGGGCGCTTGGGTGGCTCAGTGGGTTAAAGCCTCTGCCTTCGGCTCAGGTCATGATCCCAGGATCCTGGGATCGAGCCCCGCGTCGGGCTCTCTGCTTGGCGGGGAGCCTGCTTTCCTTTCTCTCTCTCTGCCTGCCTCTCTGCCTACTTGTGATCTGTCAAATAAATAAATAAATAATCTTTAAAAAAAAATATTTTATTTGAGAGAGTGAGATAATGAGAGAGCACAAGCAGGGGACAGGGGGAGGGAGATGCAGGCTCCTCACTGAGCAGGGAGCCCAATGTGAGGCTCAATCCCAGGACCCCGGGATCATGAGCTAGCTGAAGGCAGAAGCTTAACTGACTGAGCCACCTAGATGGCCCAGCCTCCTCAGTATTCTTGAGAACTGGGATTTTGGAATATGATAAAAGAATTTCAGTAAAAACTCTGTAGTACTAAAAGGCACGAGGGGACATTTTTAGGGTGATGGAAATGTTCTATATTGTCACTGTGGTGGTGGTTACACATTTACCAAAACTCATAATTTGTACTTGTATGTAATTGTACTTGAAATAAATAAGTCTATTAAATATATCTCAAAGCTGATTCTCACACACATACTGCAGTGCTGAATTTAAATATAAAGTACTTATGTGAATTCATGACTTTTTTTTTTTTAAGATTTTTATTTATTTGACAGACAGAGATCACAAGTAGGCAGAGAGGCAGGCAGAGAGAGTGGAGGAAGCAGGCTCCCCTCTGAGCAGAGAGCCAGAAGCGGGGCTTGATCCCAGGAGCCCAGATCACGACCTGAGCAGAAGGCAGAGGCCCCAACCCACTGAGCCACCCAGGCGCCCCCATGACTTTTTTACTTCAGGGGAAAACACACACACACACACACACACACACACACTGACTTTTTTACTTCAGGGGAAAAACACACACACACACACACACACACACACACACACACACACACACACACACACACACACACACACTTCCTAGTACTAAACAATGAAGAGGCCTAGAAACAAAGAACACCTTCTAACAATGAGCATCCCCAATAGCCAATTCAGCCTCCAAATACTATTTTCCATTAAAAGGAATCAGGGCTTTTTACAGAAATTCTGAAATATGCAAACTCTGTTTCAGACATTAGATACAAAGGAACCTATTAAATACTCCTGAAGTGGGGCGCCTGGGTGGCTCAGTGGGTTAAAGCCTCTGCCTTCGGCTTGGGTCATGATCTCAGGGTCCTGGGATTGGGCCCCGCATCGGGTTCTCTGCTCGGTGGGGAGCCCACTTCCCCCCTTCTCTGCCTACTTGTGATCTCTCTCTCTCAAATGAATAAATAAAATCTTAAAAAAAAAAATACTCCTGAAGTTGTGTCAAAAGGACTCCAGGCCAACTTGAAGAGGCTCCCACCAGCCAAAGATAGGACAATTTGAACATCAAAGAGAACTTTAAAGGGGACAAATCTGCATTTATCCTACCTCTCTCATACTTCTAAGCAAGCAATAGAGGTTTATAGAAATAGAAATACTCGGGGCACCTGGGTGGCTCAGTGGTTAAGCCTCTGCCTTCGGCTCCAGTCGTAATCTCAGGGTCCTAGGATCGAGGCCCGCATCGGGCTCTCTGCTCAGCAGGGAGCCTGCTTCCCCTCTCTCTCTGCCTGCCTCTCTGCCTACTTGTGATCTCTCTCGCTCTCTCTCTGTCAAATAAATAAATAAAATCTTAAAAAAAAAAAAAAGAAATAGAAATACTCTAGCTAATGAATGAAGAAGAGAATCAGAATATTGCCGTTTTGTTACCTCTAAAGAACCGACTGACCTAAGCATGGTCAAGGGCTGCTGGCATCCCCAAAAGAGAAACCACCAGACATGACTGCCTCCTGATGGGAGAGCACAACCTAGGAAAAATCTTGTCCCCCACAATTAAACTTGAAACTGATTAAGCCTTTGGATTCTACTTCCAAATCCATAGGTAATTACATATAGAGAGGAACAGGTTAAACTATCACGGGGGTGCAAAAAGCAAAATCCAAACAGTGACAAACCCTGTAACAAGCAACCCAATTTCTTAAAGAGAGAGAGAGAGAGAGAGAAACTAAAAGACCTAATGATCAACTTCAATTTTATGAAATTATGAGACAATGGAAAACCAAGTAGATATCTGATACTAAAGAACTGTTTTTTAAAAACTTTTTATTATGAAAATTCTCAAACATGCACAAAAATAAAAAGACAATACAATGAACCCTCATGTACCCATCACCCAGCTTCAACAACTCAGAGATACTATTGTTTTTTATCTATATTCCACCACTTTTTAAAAACTGGAGAATCTTAAGGTAAACCTCAGATATCATATAATTTCACTCAAAAATATTTATATATGGGGACGCCTGGGTGGCTCAGTTGGTTAAGTGGCTGCCTTCGGCTTGGGTCATGAGCCCAGCGTCCTAGGATCGAGTCCCAAATCGGGCTCCTTGCTCCACAGGGAGCCTGTTTCTCCCTCTGCCTCTGCCTGCCACTCTGCCTGCCTGTGCTCTTTCTGTCTCTCTGACAGATAAATACATAAAATCTTTAAAGAAAAAAATATTTACATATGTGTCTCTTTCAGATAAGGATTAAAAAAAAAAGCTATAATACCATTATCACACATCCAAGGAAATTGTCAATAATTCCTTAATATCATCTAGCGTTAATTGTTTTAGGTGTGATAGTGGTTAACAAAAGACACTTAACTAAAATACTTACAAATGAAATGAGAGCTGCAGTCTGCTTCAAACTGATAAGGAAGGATGGCTGTTGGGTGGATGAGGCAGGATGTCCACAGGTTGATGGATACTGGTGCTAGGTGACAGCACTTGGTATTAATTACACTATTCTTCGTATGTTTGGAATTTTTGTCAGGTGAGTAATGATAGTATAATTAACACAAACATAAGCAGCACATAAAAGTTCAAAGATTTCTTTTAAATATACCTGTTAGAACCAGACACAAAATACACTGTAATAATGCCATTTAATATTTATTTTATCTTGTTTTTAAAAAAATCAATAAATGTTCTAATTTCTTAAAGTTTAGTTTTGGGTTAATCTTCAATATTTGACAGTACACATGTGGCAGATTCTAAAAAGACTCCATCTTTCCTGATAAGAAAACCCACTTCAGGAAAGGGTTAAGACACTACCAAAGCCCTAAGGCATAAACTGTGTTTGATCCAAATAAATCATGATATTCTCATTCCCTCAGGCAGTGACTGGCCTAGGGATAACCAGGTGACCCAGTTCTGACCAATGAAATGTGAACACGTCTTCTGACTGGGATGACTGAGAAAGCTTTTAGTTTCCCAGTTAAGAAGGGAAGAGTTTTGGCCAGTTAACTCTTATCTCTTTGATTTTCTTCCTAACTAGAATGCGGACAAGAAGGCTAGAAATATAGCAACCACCTTGTGACTACAAAGCAGCAAGTATGAAAATAAAAGCCAACATACCCAAGATGGTAGAACAGAAAGGTATCAAGAGCCTGGGTCCCTAACTATAGAGGAAACAATTACACCAGCTCTGGACAGTCTACGCCCACCCCTCTAAGACTTCTTGTTATGAGAAAAACAAATTACAATCTGCTTAATCCAATACAGTGGGATTTTTGTTTCTTGTAGCTGAACACATTTCTGATAGAATGGAATCCATTAAGAAATATAAATAATAAAAACTGAATTAAAAAAGCACCAAAAATGTTCACTTCATAAGAATAAAGAGGCTAAAACGAATCTAACATAAGACAATCAAATTAGGAAAGGAGAATATTTATTACACAAATATTAAAATCTATACATTCTTAGCTGATGATATATACTTGACCAAAAAATCTTTTACTTTGGATATATGCATCATTTCCTTCATTGTGGTGTCTCTACTTCTCAGATGTATTAACCCATTCTCCAAAGTAGCTTCAGTAATCAAAACTGTGAACAGGATACTCATTTCATCATATCTAAGGAAAAAAGTAGTTGAACAAAATACATGAGCACAAATATAAACTATAAAGTCACCATATTACCAGCTTCAATTACTTTAGAATCCAGCCACTTTCCAGAGTCACAAAACTCAAAAGCAGTGTTTTTGGACCAAAAACACTTTTTAAAAGTATCTGAACCATATACAAACTAAATTTTTCAGAAAGTTTCTCTAACTTATTGTAATAAATGAAAAGTCACCTCAACACATAATTTGGGGTAAATTGTATTTTATATATATATACATATATTATATATATATATTTACATATATTTAGAAGAGATTTCTGTTACTCATAAAGAAACACACCACCAAAAACTCTGAACACATGGTTTTAGTGACAAGAAAGACAATCTTACTTTGAGTAAAGTTGTTCCAATGAGGACTGCACAGTTTCCATATAACCAGGCCACACAGAAATTCCATTTTCTAGTAATTCATTAAATAACCCTTGACAGACCTAAGGAAAAAATAGAAACAATTCAAATACGAATGAAGTAAAAGTAGCCAAAATGATTACCCTGTTTTGGGGAAACCACAAATCACCTTATTCAGTCCTTAACACAGAGCATGAATTCTTTTAGTTATGTGATCATATTGTTTACAATTCATACACTGGATACTTACAAATAGCATACTTCCTCTAAAAATGAAGAAATTAAGCACTGCAAAGCTACTCTATGCAAATCCTCCCTAAGAGAAAATTTTATATAACAGATACAAGCATTTTTGTCATCATCATTACCCTTCAAAACTCGAACAAAACAGATTCCATCAGAGAAAAACACTAAGTGCAAAGGGCTATGCTAACTGTGCGCTCCTCTGAGAGCTGGCAGCTGAGCCCCAGGGTTACACCCCCAGTTGGGAAGAGAAGAGCCAACCAGTAAAGGAAACAAAGGAGGAGTAGCCAGACAAGTAGGAGGAAAATGAGGAGAGTGGTGTTCCTGAAGCCAACTAAAGAAAACATTTCCAGAGAATGGTTTGTTTCAGTGGGAATGCTGGACACAAAACCTGACCGGAAATACAGAATAATGAGTAATATTACACAATAAACTTTACTGTTTTCTTCACACGCAATGGTGAAGCAAAATGGCAAAAATTTTAAACACCCCTAACAACCCAGAGCTAAAAGTCTAGAGCAGGATTTCTCCCCTTCTGCACTGCTGACGCTGGGATGTTTAGCAGCATCGTGGCCTCCCTGAGATGCCTACAGCACTCCCCTCCCCACCCCACCTCCCCACCAAAAATGTCTCCAGATGGCCCTGCAGGGGAGGGTGGCTGCGGTGGGTGGGGGAGGGTAGCCTGAGCTACAGCACTGTTTCTCAAACTTCAGGGAATATTGGAATCCCCTGAAGGGCTTGTCAAACACAGGTTGCTCTGCTGCATTACCAGAATTTCTGATCCAGCAACTCTGGGGTGAGGACCAACAATGTGCATTTCTAACAAGTTCCCAGGGAAAGACCAATGGGTGTGAAGGGACTTGATATTTGGGGATAGTTGAGAATATAAATATTTACACAATAAACGTTTGGTTTATTATTATTATTAAAATTACTTTATTATATTATTATATATTTGGTTCATTAGAAATATTTTATATTTATTTTTATATTTATATATAATATAAATATATATTTAATGTGTAAATATATATATTTATATATTTGCACAATAAACTGGTTTATTATTATTCAAATTATTATATTATATTATATTATATTTATTATTGTTATTAAAATTATTAACAGAGAAAAATAAACATCACTGTAGATTTTAAAAATTAGTGGGTGACAGCAAGAACATCTGCTTTTCCTACTGGAAGGCAGAAGAGAAGTAGCTCTGGCCCAAGTAAGGAAATGGGAACGCCTACACCATGAGAATACGAACAGGGGCAGCCAATCTGGAAACAATCTCACTGACAATAGTGAAATTTAGGATACGTGTCCATTTTATCCAGAAATCCCACCTCCATGTATATAACCACCAAAACCCTTATATGGCCCAGAAGGTTCTGTCCTACTACTGAGGAGAGAAAAGCTAAAAATAGAATGAGATATATAACATACTCCCTTTTGGTAAATTAAAAACACCCAAGGAACAAAATACTACTATGTTCTTATACATAGATAAAACCAAAACAAGACCTGTAATTGCAATGACAAAAATTTAGGGAGCAGAGTTCTTTTTTATCCTTCAAGCAAAAAGAACCCACAAAACAACAACAACAAAACCCCCAAGGACCTTCTACCTACAAGGGTCTTCAGGAGGCTGCCACAACCCTAGGTGGAAAAGTGGAAATTAAACCACCACCTTCCCTTCCCCTGAGTGCACTATCCCCACCTTCCCAGACCTCTCCACAGGAGCCTGAGGAAGAAAGTTGGGTAGATCTGGCTAGTGTCCTCACTTAGGTGCTGGGTGGCTCTGAGTCACCCAGGACCCAGGCATGACTGCTGAAGGGGTTTCTGGAAAGAAACTAAAACCACCCTCCTGGCTTCCCAAGAGTGTTTAATTAGACCAGATAGATTAGAAGAACCAAAATAAGGTACCGATCTAGAACCTGTACTTATACCAATAAATATCAAAAAAGTGTGAGGTTAAAAATGTAAGCGGGCAAGAAATAATTCACTAGAATTATGTTTGTACATAAGTTGTACAAACACTTGGATTACCAAAACTCTGTGTACTCATTTGAAAAGGCATCTATGAGTAAGCATGACTTTAACAACAAAATCACTGAGCTGTATATAGCTTCTTTTATATACTATGCTTCATATAATCTACAATAAACCAGAGTATGTATACATAGCTATTTAATTAAATTTTTAAAAAAGCAAACGAATCAAAATTTTACAAGGTAAGTTACTTATTTGAAGTAATAGTTTTATTTATTTATTTTAAAAGATTATTTATTTATTTGACAGACAGAGATCACAAGTAGGCAGAGAGGCAGGCAGAGAGAGAGAGGAGGAAGCAGGCTCCCTGCTGTGCAGAGAGCCCGATGGGATGCGGGGCTCGATCCCAGGACCCTGGGATCACGACCTGAGCCAAAGGCAGAGGCTTTAACCCACTGAGCCACCCAGGCGCCCCTAAGTAATGGTTTTATTTAAAATCATGATACTAAAACTCATTTGACCCACCTGTCTTAATTCCACCGTTGGGCCTCTTCCCACATCCAAAGCAACCTTAACAGGGGCTAAACAAGGGTGAAGTTTAAGTACCTAAAGCAATTTAAAGAGAGGGGGGAAAATGGATGGCACATCTTGTTTAAATCTAACACAGGCACTATCAAACATGGAGCTTTCTAAACTGTAAAAATTGCATGTGAAAACGGAAGCTAGCTGAGGTCATAAATCGTGTAATGATGTGTTCAGCTGGCTATATCCAGCTGCTCATTGATTTCTCCACTTAGATGTTCTGCAGAAGTAAGTTCACTTGATACTCTCTCATTTTCTGACGACTCCATTTTCCCTCAATCCAAACACCCCTTCCTGGTATCATTGCTTTCCCTACCCAGCCCCAGCCAAGGGACTCGTTATTCGAACTTTCTCTTGCCAAAACCTACCACTCTTCTTACTCATCCATCCACTCAACAACTGGGTGGCTCCTTGGTGCCAGAAACAGTTCTAGGTACTAGGTTCATAACTCCTTGCCCCTCATGGTGGGGATGGGGAGATAATAAACAAGTAAATAATATGCTTGAAGGTGGTAAGTGGTTAAAAAAAGGTTGGTGGGGGAGGAGATAGGAAATGCTGGAGGGGCGGGTTGGAGAGGTTTTTTTGCAATTTTAAATAAGTTGGTAAAAGGTCTGAGGTTGACAGTTGAGCAAAGACTTGAGAGGTGGTTGTGGATCCTGGAGGAAGAGCATTTCAGACAAAGGGGAGAACCATGACAAAATTCTGAGCTGGAAGCATGACTGACATTTTCTAGAAACAGCAAAGGGGTCTGTGCTGTTGGAGCAGAGAGTAAGGTGGGGGCTGGAGGAGGAGGTCAAAAGGGAATGGTTTTGTAAAACACTTTAGGGGCTTTGCCTTTTCCTCTGAATCAAACAGGAACTCAGTGGAGTGTTCTAAGCAGTGGGGCAAAGTTACATGTACCTTTTAAAAGGGCCACTCGGTGCCAGTGGGAGGGGATGGTGGTGGCATTGATTAGAGTGGAAGGAGGGCAAGTGGTAAAAAATGGTCAGATTCAGGATATATTTGAAGACAGAGTCAAATGGTTTTTGCTGATGATTTGGATGTGGGGTGTAAGAAAAGAAAGGATCCCTCATTTGCTATATATCCTATAAACCCAACCCTAGAACGATTCTATAATGTGACCTGCTTTATGGGCATATCAGGCTAAATGAACACTGCATGATAAACTACTCAGCTATGCAAAGTGGTACTACAAATTCATGGTTTCCAAACCCAACATGTTGAAACTTTTGATTCTGGGCAGCTCCCTTTCACATTCAGGGGAATATGAACACTCTAAATTCTGGCCACTTAAACCTCTATTCCTCCACATTTTAAGCTAATCATCCTGCTTTCTAATTCCCTAAGGAAATAGAGGATATGAGGAAAACTTCCTTCAAAGTGTATTTATATCTACACCATCATTTCTCTTCTCTGTGCTTTCTCAAATAACTCCTTTTCAGGACCAATCCCTCCACTGGTGTTCTTGTTCCTGTCTTGACCCTTCATGTCTCTAAAATCTCGCTCCATTAGTCATTTATCTTCTTTCCTGTGGCTTCAGTCCCTCTTCTCTCTTGATTTTGAGCCCATAAACATGTCCTTGACTCAGGCCCCAAGATAGCTCCTGTGATCTAGTGAATAGCCACTTGGGGTCAGACTAGAAGCAGAGAGGTCAATACCACAGTCTTGGTAGTCTGACATATTCCTGCTTAACACTCTGATGCAAATAAATGGAAGCCACCGAGTGAAAGGCTCAGGGGCTAAGAATCAGAGATTGCTCTCTACCTGTCTGCCAGGATCAAAGAGAAATGCCTCTGGGATTACCCAATAGGAATATCTTGCTCTATTCTGTGAGAACCTGCTTATTACTCCCGTGGCCAGGTTCTAAAAAATGAAAAATGGTAAAAGAACCTGCACTGAAAGAAATTTATTATTCATAAGTTTGTGTTAAGAAACCAAGCCCACTAACGTACAAGGGAAAAACATCTTTTTAGCTTCCCAAGTTTATCTCTGAAAATCAAAAGCACCTTTCTATGAAGATTCTTTTTCCTTGTAAAGGAGTTCTCTGTGAGCTGGAAAGAATCGTAGAGGTAAGCCAGCACACCTCGGTCCAGATTTCCAGTAACAGATAAAACATATGGAACCACATTTTTTCGTCCATCTCGGCCCTTCACAGAAAAGTAGAACAAATATACAGACTGTTAGCAGAGCTCTCTCTTAAAACTACAGACTCACAGAATCAGAACACAAACTTACAAATTCATTCTACAAAGCCTTCACTCTGGGCCAACCTGTGCTAGGCAGTGGACCCACAAAAATGGGTCTGACATACTCCCTGCTCTCAGGGAGATTAGGGTGTAGATCAGTGAGTCTCAACTGGCTATGTATTAGAATTGCTTTGAATTTTAAAATGTAAAGGTTTTATGCTTGGGCCCCATTCCTAGAGATTCTGAACTACCTGGATAGGAGTGGGACCTCAGCATCACTATTTTTCCAAAGGTCCCTAGGTGAGCATTATAATAAAGAGGATAATATTATAAGAAAGTTCAGCAGGGCCCTTAGAGAAAAAAATTGGTATGTTTAGGGATAGGGGTTTGGAGTATAATCTCTGGAAATATAAAGTTTTTATAATAAGCAAACCTCTTTTAAAAACCAGGTTTGGGGTATTTACTTTAAGGCTATAATTAAGAATATAAAATATACCATAATGCACAATATAAATCAGGGATTGATAAAAACACTTATTACTGCCTTTCTTTTAAACTGATAAAGAATCACCTAAATCTTTTTCAATGTCAATCCTAAAAATTTAAAAGGTTTTGCATATAAACAGTTCTGCCTTCATTCTTTTTTTTACTGTTATCACAGTCATCTGAACATTCATGTAATTCTCTAATACTTAAAAAAAAATTTGTCAATCCTCAACTTCTATTAATTATCCATGATTAAGCACAGTCTTCATTAACACATATGTATTGTTTTATTATTATTACTATTGTTATTAAATATTTTATTTATTTGACAGAGGGAGACAGCAAGAGAGGGAAGAGGAAGAAGCAGGCTTCCCTCTGAGCATGATCATAACCAGACACGCGACTTGATCCCAGGACCCTGAGATCATGACCTGGGCCGAAGGCAGACGCTTAATGACTGAGCCACCCAGGTGCCCCTGTGTTGGCATTTTAAACCCATTTTAATGGCATATGGTACTGTAAAGATTAATGTAAATTTGTCCTCAAAAGGCAGTACTCTTAAAATAAGACAAAATCAGAAAGGGAGACAAACCACGAGAGACTCTTAAACTATTGAAAACAAACTGAGGGTTGCTGGAGGGGAGGTGGGTGGGGGGATGGGGTAACTGGGTGATGGGCATTAAGGAGGGCAGTGGGTGTTACATGCAACTCATGAATCACTAAATTCTACCTCTGAAACTAATAATAACATTATGTTAATTGATTTTAAATTTTTAAAAAAGGCTGTAGGAGATCTGGTATCAGGGTTGATCTTTGCATAAGAATGGTAGGGAGTTTGGTTACATACAAGAAATGAAAAAATCAACATACTGAAGATACTGGGAGCCAGGTTGCGGTCAGAGAACAGAATTATAAATTTGGAAAGAGGTAAAACTAGAATAAACTTTGTGGCATTAGACTAGAACTTGAAGAACTGGTAGGAACTCCTAGTTTTTAATAATAGGTAAATATAGACACAGAGTTAAGTGTGTAAATATATACATATAAGCAATTGCCTCCAAATATTTCCTAGCTATGTCCACAGAAAGGGCCCAGGAGCAATGATACCCAGTTGCAAAGAGTACACCTAGAAGCAAAATCTCAGACTTTAAATACATTTTCCTCTAATAAGAATTAAGGTTCCTCGGAGAAATGGCTGACTGCACAGTCAGACCAAGAAACAAGATGATCTCGGAATAACGAGTTGCTGCAAAAGATAGGAAGTGCTCAGAGAATGACCAGGATATGTCAAAAGGACACTGGCCAAGTTTAGGACAATTTTAGCATCAAAACAAAATTCCAACTCATGGAGAAAAATAGGACTCTGTAAGCCCATAAAAAGAAAGAGAGTGAAAAGCTCATCCCCACAGTACACTGTTGATAAATAAATCTAAAAGAAATAATGAAGTAATAATAAAATTAATAATAATAGGGAACCTGGGTGGCTCAGTTGGTTAAGTGACTGCCTCTGACTCAGGTCATGATCCTAGAATCCCGGGATCGAGACCCACATCGGGCTCCCTGATTGGTGGGGAGTCTGCTTCTCCCTCTGACCCTCTCCCCTTTCATGCTCTCTCTCTCTCAAATAAATAAATCAAATCTTTAAAGAAAAAAAAAATTAATAATAATAATAAAAAAAAAAGATACCACTTGGCAACCCTCATAGTAATCACTGATCTGCCCAAGAATCACCAAGGTATGCTGCAACTGGTAAGTTAAAATGTGGTCAGAAACAAGTTATTTACCTAGTCTTAAAATGTCTGCCACAAAAGACTTACCAATGACTTACTAATTAATAAGTACAAAAATCTGTCAACTTTACATTGGAGAAACCTGGTAGCACTATCTTAACCAAGAGATAAAAGTGAACATTGCCAGTAACAAATATGGTATCATGTGCCTCCTGATATGATGCCTGAGAACAACACCATTTCTACGGTATTCCTAGCAAAAATACATAAACCATAAGAATACATGACAGAAACTCAAACTGAGGGACATTCCACAAATTAAGTGCAAAGGCCTACATTCTTCAAAAATGTCAAAGTCATAGGTTGCCTGGCTGGCTCAGTCCATAGAGCAGGTGACTCTTGATCTCTAGCTTGTGAGTTCAAGCCTCACATTTGGTGTAGAGATTACTTAAAAATAAAATCTTTAAAAAAGAAAAGGTCATGAAAGACAAGATAAAATGAACTATTCATTTGAAGGAGACTAGAGTTATGACAACTATGTGAAATCCTAAACTGGATAATGGACCTATGAAAGGCATTATTAGGATAATCGGTTACATCTGAAGGATTATATGGATTGGATGATAATAATGGATGACTGGCACATTCTTGATTTTGATGGCTGTGTTGTGGTTACAAAGGTGATTGTCCTTGTACTTCAGAAATATATACTATAGTAATAAGAGGTCATGGGGCCCTGTGTCTGCAACCTGTTCTCAAATGTCTTCAGAAATGATCAGTTAGAGAATCTGGGTAAAGGATGGATAGGAGCTCAAGGTAAAACATACGTGTAATTGAGACTCATTTCCAGGACACGTGTGTAAAAGTTCACGGTCTCCTAGATTCCACAGGGTCTCTATTGGCTCCTTTCCCCATGGGAAGTTGTAATAAAGTTGGTTTCCTTTTCGTCCCTCTTCGTCCTGACAATCACTGCTGCTGAAGTTAGACGGACTCATAGCAAACTGGAGAAGAAAGTTTGTTTTATTAATTTATGAAACTAAAGATTAAAAAGTAAAGTTGCCTGAGACTTTTATGTGGCAACTGAATGAAACCGGTCAGGTCCCATATAAAAACTATGAAGTTCAGTTAAATATGAGCAAATGTATTGCTAAAAACACAGTTTTTAGCCTGGAAGAACTACAGAGAAAAACTATTGGGAGTGATCTAGCCTTTTTTGGGCCAGTTAATAAGAAGGGAAGGTGACCATAAACTAAGAGGGATAGAGAAGAAAGTGTATACTCACCATTCTTATCCTCTGAATAGTGTGACTATTTGTGATTATTCTACTTAACTGAGTGGTTGTTTGAGGATTTTAAAGAATTGGAAAAAGACAATGGTGAGCCACAAATACAATACCTATTTCAACTCTTTCTTCTTCAGCATATACTAAAACTTGAAAATAGATCACAGAACCATTTTCCAATACAGAGAATTCATGGACAGAGGCAGGGAGCAAAGATTGAAGCTTTAAGGGTATGCAAAGGTCAAACTCTACACCTGCCAGGAATGCCAGGGGAGGCAGCTGAACTCTATCTCAAATGCAAAGGCTTATCCACAAAAGCTTTTGAATGAGAAAGACATCAACAGATATCTTTACCAAGGTAACTTTTTATATGGAACAAAGAAAATCATTACAAAGAGGCTTTTATTTGTACTTATTGATTTACTAGAGCTGTCTCTTACAAACATAACATAGCCCCACATCAAATAAAATTTCATTTACTTATTAATTTATTTATGATTTTATTTATTTATTTGACAGAGACAGAGAGAGAGAGAGAGCAAGAGCAGAGGGAGCAGCAGGCAGAGGGAGAAGGAGAAGCAGGCTCCCTGCTCAGCAGGGAGCCTGATGTGGGACTGGATCCCAGGACCCTGGGATCATGACCTGAGCTGAAGGCAGACACTTAACCGACTGAATCACCCAGGCGCCCCAAAATTTCATTTATTGTACAGAAGTATTATCTCTGACACACTAAGACGCTTCACCTATTAATTATTAAATTAAGGGTACCTTTCTCCACCACAGGAGTCGATGACGTAACCAGAAATCAAGCCACTGGCCTGCGGTTCTTGCTGAAGTAAACCAAACCAGTGAAGCCTCAGTCTTCTCACCGATTCTTTGGATATCAGAAATATCAGACAGTTACTTACTCAAAGATTATATAATTTATCCTAGAGTGAAAGTGACTGGTTCTTGATTAAATACAAGGCAAAGTTATCTGCCATTTTTTGGTACCTTTTAACACCAGCAGGTGTCTGCTTAGTATCAGAAACAGGATGAAAACACACTCCAATCTGGGCAAGGCCAAAAGGTAGTCTCTTGTTTACCAGGTCCAGGCAATTAACATAGTGCTCCAAAGCACCTGTCAGAAGATAAATTTGTCACTATGTAAATCTATTCTATAAACCCAAGTCATGAGGGTCAGTTTATAAACAAATTAATATTATAATAATGTTAACACAGCAGTACAAGTAGCGCAGAACTATTCAGTCAGGTTGATTACGACTTAGTTTCCCCACAACTTTTTAGTTTGATTTTCAAATCTATAAGAAAGTTGATAGTACATAAATACCTGTACTCTTCAGCTAGATTCACCAACTGTCAACATTCGCCACATTTTCTCCTTGTTCACCCCAAAACATTTCAGCATGTGTCTCCTAAAATTATTCTCTGTATACCATTACACCATAAAATTAATCATAATACTGTAATTTTATATAACATATGGTCGATATTCTATTTTCTCCAATTGTCTCCCAAATGTCATTTGTTGTTGTTCTCTTTTTCCCTAATTAAGGCTCCTGCTCTGCATTTTGATTACTTCTCTTTAATTGCTTTTTTTTTTTTTTTTTAAGATTTTATTTCTCACACAGACAGACAACCAGAGAGGAAACACAAGCAGGGGGAATGGGACAGGGAGAAAACAGGCTTCCCACTGAGCAGGGAGCCCGATGTGGGGTTCGATCCCAGGACCCCGGGATCATGACCTGAGCATGGTTAAGACAGACACTTAACCACTAAGCCACCGAGGTGTCCCATCTTTAATCTCTTTTATTCTGGAACATTGCCCCTGATTCCTCCCTCCCTTTCTAACTTTTAATGACTCTGACTTGTGGTTTCAGTCTAGACCAGTCATACTCAAGATTTGGCTGACTGTTTCACTCACTTGGGTAAATCATTTTTAGCAGAAATAAATACTCCATAGTTGATGTGTATGTCTTCTTGGATTCTAACAAATAATATCTAAATTCTAAAAAATAATATCAAATTATTGCATATTAATGAAACTAAATTTGATTACCTGGTTAGGTAGTGAATATCCATTCCCCAACACTATCCTGCTCAACAATCTCCCACCCAACATTTTAGAATCCACTGATCATCCTGCTTGAATCAATTATTATACTGGGGATTACAAAATCACAAAATGGTGATTTTTCTCTTTCCTTCCACATTTATTACATAGCTTCTGTGAAAAAAATAAACTTTCTCTACCTCCTTCCTCTACCAGCAGCCTCAACTACTTACTTTTTTGATTAACACAATAAATTTTTAATTTTAATGTGTTATGATCCATTACCATTAATACTTAATATTCAGTTTGTCTCAAATTTAGCCGGTGGAAGTCTCCCTCAAGCCAGCATCTGTGTCCTTTCGACGTGACCTCACCAGTCTTCAAATGTTTCTTTGCTTTCTAACACCATAAAATTTCTAACACCATAAAACTCATCTTGTGCTTTCCCTGCCCCAGACCTGGGATAAGCCATTTCTCCAAGCACTGGTTCATTTTAGAAATAAAAATGTGGGTACTAAGTGTGTTCACTGCTATTGTCATTACTTATAGGACCTTTCAATGAAGAAAGTTAAGAATAATGTTTTTTTTTAATTAGGAGGTCATACTGATACTGCTGATTCAAATTTAACATTGCAAAGTTTATCCTTGTCTTCCTTCATATTGTATCTCTTTTTTCACAGTGAAAATTAATTCATTTTCATTAACATTAATTTCATTAATTAACATTAATCCATCTATTTGCTTTATTTTACAACATATTTGAAACAGCTTCAGAATTATAATTCCAACATTTCTATATGGAATAAATCTAAGTTCAAGATTCCATTGTAGTTCTTTATGCACTTAGATTATGTCCCACTAAATGACAGCATTGTGTTTAACTTACTTGAGATTTCTGCTTCTGGTAATAAATAGTAGATCAGCAAGATAGGAAAAGGTGGTCAAGAAACTTTAAAAAAAAAAAATCTGCTTCAAGCCTGAGCTATCTATCAAGGCAGTAAGGACTTGAGGGTCCAAAATATGGAGAGAAGGGAGGAGCAGAGAGGTGAGCCCAACATTTAGTGCTGCTTTTCTAAATCTCAGTTAGCAGAGCTGAGAAGCTTCGTGACATCTTAAGCTTAGGACTGGGAAGTACAAAAACTATAGTTCCTGACTCCTCAAGGAGGGACCCTGGTAAACACCCCAGCCTTTCACTAGGGACACTCAAAGGGATACAATTTAGCAGTAGAGATGAAAACCCTGAAGACCAGTCTCCAATAAACTTAATCCCAATGCTCCCACTCTATGAGGCGTCTGGTGGCTCAGTCGGCTGGATGAGTGTCTGCCTTTGGCTCAGGTCATGATCTCAGTGTCCTGGGATTGAGTCTCACATGAGGTTCCCTGCTCAGTGGGAAGTCTGCTTCTCCTTCTCCCTCTGCTCCTCCCCACCACTTGCGCTCTCTCTCTCTCAAATAAATAAAATCTTAAAAAAAGATAGCTCCCACTCTAGCTGCCTGCCAAAAGCAAAAAGTAAATCCTCCCAGGAAGAATAAACCACCACCCAGAAGCTCAATTTATCTCTACAATTTATATACAAATTACACAGAAGAGCAGGAGAGAAGTCCAAATAACCAAAGGCCCAGAGAAAAACAGAATTATCTGAGTTATTGGATGCAGATTCTTTAAAATGTGACTGTGTTCAAGAAAGTAGATGGCAAGATGGGGGAAAAGTCTAACATATGTAATTTGTCACACGACAAAGGAAAATGGGACAATAACTATATCTAGAAATATAATGGCTGAGAATTTTTTAAAAAACTATTCATAAGTAGAGCTTATGAGTTCAGTAGTTCAGACATGAAATAAAGAGAGCAAGGACCTTGAGAATAGAAAGTAGTAGCAAACTGGGTAATTCTAAGCTAAAAACACTACTTAACTCAAGGATTCTCTAAATAAGTGGTTTTGCATTTCCTAAAGGAAAGAAAATGTCTAATATATCAATGTGTATTTTGATGAATGGACATCTAAGCAAGCTAAGTTTCATTTGCCCCCCCCCCTTTTTAAAAAGATTATTTTATTTATTTCAAACAGAGAGAGCACGAGGGGCGGGGGTTGTCAGTGGCAGGAGAAGCAGACTCCTCACTGAGTAGGCAGCCCAACATGGTGTTTGATCCCAGGACCCTGAGCTGAAGGCAGATGTTTAACTGACTGAGCCACCCAGGTGCCATTAAATTTCATTTTCTAATAGAGAAGAAAAGATCAATTTGTTTTGAACATGGTAAAAAGCAGTGATTTAACTTGCCCCAAATAAAGACATCACGGAATAATTAAAATAATACAAATCAAAACTGTCACAAATATTCACCAGTTTCCTTTATTAAGGAAATTTTTAAAGAGCTATAAAGTGGGTACTAATTTTCAGAGAACCATGGATATTGGTTAAATTAGTGCCATTTAACTAACACAGTAAGGATAGCATTTTGCAAAGATGAGATGCTGTGATGGCAAGTCTGTACTATAAAGAACTTGAATTTTTTTTCTTCTTCAGAATCTCTGCGATCGTGTTCTATTTGACTTTAAAGGCAAATGATGGGGGTGCCTGGCTGGTTCAGAGGAGCAGGTGACACTTATCTCAGGGTTGGGAGTTCCAGCCCCAACCCGAGTGCAGAGATTACAAAAATAAATTTTTAAAGGCAAATGGTGCCCCATAACTTTCTGTGTATTCACTTAAGAATCAGTTATAAAGCTTAATTAGTCCTACCTTTTTTTTTTTTTTTTTTTTTAGTTGACACAAACATCACTTAAAGGGCTCTTCAAACAAGAGTGTAGATATGTTTTCAGTATGAAAAATTGGGGGGAGGGAATTTTTTTTGCTCTAGAAGAATGAGCTCTTGATTAGCCTATTGTGTGTAAAACTTAAAGAGTAACTGTGGAAGTATTTACCAACATCTTGGTAACGACAAACAAATGATTCACATGATTTAATTTACCCCTAATTCTAGGGCTGCTCAATGGAACTTCAGGGTTGCCCCATGAAATTAAAGAGCGTCACCTGGTCCTTCAAGCCAGATTCTTTAAGGAACAGTAACTATTCCAGAGACCCCTTTTCTCCTTGGTAAAAACACTGTCAATATACCCAACTACTTCAAAAAGATGAGAACCAGATAATTTCCTTTTTACGTGAATAAAGGACCAGTTGCAATCCGCGAAATCTAGCAAGTCTGCCATTCCACCCCATCTATTTTGAAGCATGAAATCGTGAAGCATACCGTGAAGAAGGTTCTCCCGTAGTTTCCCAGAAGTTTTTAATAAGTTTTCAAGAAATGCTACTAGCTGTTCCTTACTCAGCTCTTTGTCTTGCAAGATCTCCCGTAGAGTTTCTGCTGAAACTAACCTGAAGGCACTGTCCCCAGGCAGCGTAGGGCCAGGCTCGTGATGGAGGGCATCTACCGGGAAGACCTGCTCCCTGAACACCACCACCGAGGACCACCATTCTGCTGCCAGGTTCTTCCGCAACTCAATGCCCAAGGGGCCAAAGCCGGGGTGGCACCCGCTCAGAAGAGAATGTCGGCTAAGCTGCCGCTTGCTGCCACTGAAGAAATGCCTTCTCTGACAGATCTCTACCAGCTCCTCGGTCCCCTCACTGGACTCAGGGGCTTCGATCGGCTCGCTCCCCCGAGGCAGCTCCGCGTGCGACCTCACGGGCACTCCGAAGGAACTACTCCCTTCCATTAACGGCTCGGGCTGCCCCCCATCCACTCGACCTCCAAAGCCAGACAACAGACACCTGCACACTTTCTGGCAGGCCCTGACTGCTGCGCCAGAACGCATCGCCCTTGGGAGTTAAACAACACAGTCTTCCACTAACCGGTTGATGCCGGGAAACTGCCACAGTCGCCCGGGAGGCAACTGCGCAGGCGCGACGGAAGTGACCAAGCGAGCGGCCGGCCACACCCACGGAAGCGCGTCACCGTGTTCCGGCTGCAGCCGTCGCGGGCCCTGCCCAGTTGTTAAGGCTAAAGCCGACCTCGTACCGCTTCTAGCCTCCATTAAGTTTGGCCCCTCTAATTGTTAGGATTTTAGCACCCGTTGAAGGTCATTTCTCCTTTTCACTGTCACGCTGTACTGGGAGTCAGCTCTGCTTCTCAATTTTTTGCACATCACATCAAAATACTTAAGCGTTCCCCAAATAATTTAAATACACCTTTTCAAATTTAAGTGTTCGCGAAAATAAATCAGTTCCCACTAAAGTCTTAGCCCTTTGTGGTGGTTTAAAGACCCAGGCCTTAGCTGTACCTCATCATAAACGCTGCCGCCATGTTGCCTACTACAGGAATGGGGGGATGGGGCTGTGGCTGTGTGACAGCAAACAGGGATGGGCTTTACAGCAGTGCTTCTACCGCGCCCCCCCGCCCCGAATATTTTTATAAAGGAACCCAAAGATTTTAAGCAAGCCGCCCAGGTGAATGTGGAGGCACGTTAATAATCTCTAATATAAAGGCAATTTTCCCTACCACAGAACCCTTCTACATGACCATGTGATTACCTGTTTTAAGACAGATCCAGGATTACCTAAGCAGGCACTTGTGACCTCACAAATTTTCATTCACACTCAACCCTCAGAACTGCCCAATTAGTGGAAAATGGCACACCCCAGAGGAAAAGCCCATGATTCCTACTCCTAGCTCCCCTTAAAAGTGGTTAGGGTAAACTTGAAAAATTAATGCAGATACAAGCTACTAGATTCTATTCATCTACCAACAAGCAGTTTATGGAGGACTTTCATCAATTTTAACTACTGTTAATTCATTAAGTGTAACATGTTGCAGGACAGGCTACACAAGCACATGTGCAGGAGTTTGTAAAACAAAACAAAAACCAAAAAAAAACCCCTTTAAGACCATTTTGCCAGAGAACAATTTTGTTAAAAAATTCTATCTAAGTTCTATTAAAAGCTGGGCTCTATTATCGTGTTTTCCAATCAGGAAATACACACCAGGGAAGAGGCCTATACACAAATAAATAAAAGCGAGAATGGGGAGAAAAATCACATTTATTAGTTCAGACAACCACAGGCTGGACACAACACACATGCTAAAAAGTGGACTGTCTTAAAACTTACTTCAAAGGTAAATAGGTAAATGTTTTCCACAGCCCCACAATCATTTCAATAAATGTTTACAAATTAAAAGGCCGTTAGACATTAAACAGTAAAATATGTAATAAATACTCCAACCTACCCCAAAAGCTTCTTATAAGTTAAAAGTCATAATGAATTTGACTAACCATGCTATTGAAAACTGTTTGAGTCACTGGAGAGACTGAAATCAGTTTTCAATGTATTAGTCCTAAAAATACCACTTCCCCATCCCCTACCCCAAGCAAATTCTAGTTTTACATTTTAGAGATAAGGCATTGACACCAATTAAAGCCTCAGTATAATAATCAGAATTTAAATGAAGCCTCATGAAGACCTCTCCTCTCCTGACAAAAAGGAACATATACCAGACTCTCTGGGAAGACATCCAGACCTATTTCTAGTCATTACTGAAATGAAGTATTAGAAAGGTTGGTGAGCCAAAGTTAAATCTGAAACAACACCCCCTCTTCCCATGACCTTTCTAGCAATAAAAAACCATGTTGACCAAGTAAGATGACTTGTACAATAGTCACTGTGCTTTTGGTTATGGTGCTTCCTCTTGGTTAAACATTAACTTCGACGGGATTTTGTTTGAATATTTATAGACCCTCCAGTTTGAAGTCCCCTAGAGTTCCCTGAATTATCATTAAGACATTCATGATTCCCAGTGTAACTACAGTTAAGTGCCCCAAGAGCCTGAAAACTACAATCTATACAGATTCAAACTTAGCTCTTGGCCAAAGATCTTAAAAGGTGTGAAGTCTTTTAGCTTTGTTCACCATTTTGGTAATTTACAATAGAGCCAAAAGCAAGAATATAAACTATTCTGAAAAAGCAAGTTATTTGGAGCTTTAATGATAAAATTTTTTCAAAGGAATAAAGTCCATCCATGTTGCTCTCACACTTGAGCAGTTTGAGGGTGGGGCTATACAGCTGATTTCCCTATTTTAATCTCACTTCACCATTCTGCTAACCATTAGGCTATTAAATGACTCACCTGATGAGGTACTGACAGAGAGCCTTAATGCAATTTAGCCTACAACTGTAAATTTACTCAATCTCATTTTAATCCTTGCAATATAAATAGATCATTCTAAGAAGTGCCTTCTGATCTCCCCACTTCCCAAACCTAAAATTATAGAAAGGAGCAGTCAATTTAGTTTTCATGGTTAAAAAAACAGACCATCTAAGCAAAATTTTACATGACATTATATATGTAAAATAAAGTACAATTTCCACTTAATTCAGTCTTCAAATATTTTTTATTGGAAGGCCATGCATTGCCTTCATTTATTGTATTTCAAATCACTGTACATTTACTTTTGTGAAAACACTGCCTGCATTTTCTAGTACAAAAAAAACCTAAAAATTGTTTCAGGAATGTAGAGAAATATCCAACTTAAATAGCGAAAAAGTGCACCATAATTACTGCTGCACTGCAGTCATTTCTGCATTTCCCATGTTTCTTAAATAACTATCTTGTCTGATAACACACAATATAAAGAGCAATTATGAAAAACAGACATTTACATATACTTCTAAAGTCTTATTGAGAATATCCTGTTGGCATTGGATAACCAATCATAGGCGCAGCTGCAGTAGCAGGATATGCATATGCCTGTTGGTTCATACCATTGTGCATATTTGGAACGTTACTTCCATATTGCTGAGTGCTATCGTAACCATTCTGGTAAGTCCCTGTTGGATTACCAGTCCTAAAACTGGTCTGTATACCAGCAGACACAAAATTACTTCCAAAGCTCCCATTGGTGTAATTTGCAGCACTGTAAACACCATTCTGAGTTTTTGCCCCAAAATCTCTCTTAAGCAGACTAGAGTAACCTCTGTCATAATTTTCCCTGTCTCTAAAAGTATTAAATCCACCCCTTTTGCCCGCAGAGTATCTGTCCCGACGGTCATCCTTCATGCCTCCTCTACCCCTGGAACGACCTGTCAAGAAAAAAAAAATTGCAAGGTAATTATTTCCATGGCACCAATCATTACGAACACAGAAGGAATCAGGAAAGCTCTATTCACTCTACAGGTGAAATGTTTTCTCAGCTTCATATTGAAGATTTTACTCACCCGCCACTCCCATTTAAAGGATTCGTGCAGACAATCATGTGACCCCAAATCACCAACATTTTCTTAATGAAGGTTGGTCTTACCTGAACCTCTGTCTTCGACCAACTGAAGCAACTTGGGATTAATTGCTTGATTAGCTTCACGAAGCACAGAGATAAGGTCGCTCACTTGCTTTATGTTATTAGGTGTAAAGAAAGTGTATGCTGTGCCTGTTTTGGTACTGCGAGCAGTTCTTCCAATTCGATGAATATAATCCTCTGAGGAGTTAGGGTAGTCATAATTGATGACAAATTTCACATCTTCCACATCTGTAAGGTGTTGCAGTGTGGCAAAATAGCAATGTATGGAGTTTTGCACACCACAACAGCCAGACCAAAAATAAAAAGTTAGACAATTGTATTCCCAAGAAGGTACGGGCTGCAAAAAATACAGTTAAAATGGTTATCCATTCTCTGTAGGAATACCATTGATGTTGGAAGGGGGGGGGGAAGCACACACCATCTACCTGTCTCATTACCCCACCCAATGATAAAGAGCCTGTCAAAAGGACGTGTGTTCTCTAGCGTACTCCCAAACCAGCAAGTTCCCTTACAGATCATCAAGTGACATCTGAATGCTTCTGCGCAGTAGGGCCACTTAAAGGTTCACAGCAACCTCTTCATGTGCTCATTTTGAGGACCTTTAAACAAAAATGTACGCGGTCCTTTGTGTTACACACTCATCAGAAGTTCAAAATTCTGGCCACACTGCTTGTCTTGCCAAGACCTTACAACCGCAGCTGCAAGAAAAACATACCTGTCCCCCAAAAGTTGTTTTTATGCACTGTGTCTCGTCTAGGCAAGCGCTTCCAAGAAGCCAGGATTCACTTGAGAATGTGTCTCTCTCTGGCAGGTCTCGACATGACGACTACTGTGTAGGTGAGGGAGGAACTTTCAAAGCACTGCTTTCTTTTCCCACTAAGTGTGAGAAGTTGCTCCTGCTCTAGATCTCATGTGCCAGTACTCACCAATTTGTAAAAGGCTTAGTACCTTTTAAAGCTGCTCTCTCCATTTCAAACTTGAACAAAAATTTCATTGAACATTGAAGTTTGGAAATATTTCTTCAACATTTCAGCAAACTCACTGAAACTCAAAGACCCACAGATCACAGTAAACAGTTTGAAACAATGCTGTACCATGGCAGTCATGCAAAGCATGGGACAGAAGAAATACCACGGCAGTGAACTGTGAGGATAACTTCCATTTTTTTCCCCCGGAGAGAACAGTTTACGGGGCAGAGGTGGTATGTTCTGCCTTTTGAAGATTACTGGCACACTTTCAGCTTTTCACCTCTCTAATCGACTGGAAGCAGCCAGCCGATCACTAGTCCTCCATCCCCCTCGAGTCCTCCGATTGTCATGCCTAGGCCTTGCCACAAAGACTGCACCTTTATATGAAAAAAACTTAGAAAAAATGCAGAGGTTAAAGAAAGCAATAAACTTTCTTTAAAAAAGTTATATGGAGATCTTCTGGGAAACCAAGCCATGAATTCGAGTTTTTACTAACCTAGCCCTCTGGAGGCCACATCTGTAGCAATCAGAATAGGAGCTTTTCCATGTTTGAATTCTGTGAAAGAGAAAGGATCATAAATAATCTGAGAATTCCAGGCTTAGGGAAAAGAAATTTTTCATGTGACTAACCATTTAGAACCCAGTCACGCTCCTGTTGACTCTTGTCACCATGGATACCCATGGCAGGCCACCTACATTAAAGAGAAACCATTATTAGTGGGCTCATATTTGAAATCCCATATGTTTTAGTCTACTGCCTATCTGGTCATCAATTCCTTTAATTTCACCTAATGTATGCAGTTTTATTTATACCAGATAATGGTCTTCCAGGACATTCAAATCCGTTACTCTTTATCGGTTTGCCCCTCCCCCTAAACGCAGTTCTCATACACCTGCTTCAACGAAGAAGCCCACATACCCATCTCTCCTCATTTTTCTAGTAAGCTCATCACATCTTCTTTTGGTTTCAACAAAAACAATGGTTTTATTCTCCTTCTCACTCATGATCTCTTCCATTAGACGAATAAGTCTTGGGGAAAAAAAATTGTGAATTTTAGAAGTAGTCCATGGTTATGGCCACACATTTATGGTCACTGAAGCACGACCTTCAATTTGCATGGCTACAAGTAAAAACACCTGCCATGAACATTATCAAGCAACCACCCTTGGTCTTTAAGCCACAAAGCACAGTCCTTCACCTAAAGAAATACTACGAATATAGTGATAACCAATTATGTGAATAGAGAAAAACATTTTTTCAGGAAGACGGACAGACTAATTTTAAACGAACAAATTCATATCCCACCCAACTAAAAGTCACTTTTAAGATAACCTACAAAAGGGTAACTCCTAAGTTCGTATGGTCAGTTTTTAGAATTAAAACTTCTATGGAAAACTCACTTTTCATCCTTTTCTACATCATGACATACATCCACAATCTGAAGAATGTTGTGGTTTGCACTCAGTTCTAGTGCACCAATGTTTATATGAATGTAATCTTTCAGAAAATCTTCAGCAAGCTGTCTTACTTCTTTTGGCCAAGTTGCACTCCACATTAGGGTTTGCCTATCAGGCTAAAGAATTTGAGATTAAAAAAAAAAAAAAAAAAAGGCATTTTACTTCAAGAATAAATTGTGAGCTAACTTTGAAAATAAAACATTTTTAAAGGCACTTACTCTTATTTGATCCACAATCTTCCTTATTTGGGGTTCAAAGCCCATATCAAGCATTCTATCTGCTTCATCAAGAACAAGGTAGGTAGTTCTTCTCAGATTGGTTTTCCCACACTCTAAGAAGTCAATCAGTCTTCCAGGTGTTGCAATACAAATTTCCACACCTTCAATTAAACACATAGATGTAACTATGACATCTCAAACTTCCAGCACCAACTGTGACAAACAGAATTTTTGTTACATGCCTCTCTCCAAATCACGAATCTGTGGTCCCTTGGGAGCACCACCATAGATGCAAGTGGACTTCAATCGACACGCTCTACAGTATTCAGCAGCTACTTGCTGTACCTGTTGGGCCAGTTCCCGAGTTGGTGCCAGCACCAAACACTAAAGAGAAACAAAAAGTGGGACGGGTTTTAGCAGACTCCTGGATCCTAGTTTTAAACTAACTGATTGGCATTACACCGGTAGATCATTGATTTTGCTGTCCAATACTCAAATATGATGAAGGTAGCTTTCTCTCCAGCTAAATTAACGTGAGACAACTAACATCTCCACATAAGACCACGAGAATTACTTGATGTACTCTACAAATCCCTGCATTGTACCGCTTGACAAAAGTTAAGAAAAAAAGCGTACTTACAATAGGCCCATCACCTCTCTCTAGGAATGGCTGATGATTAATGTGGACGATAGCAGGCAGCAAGTACTATTTGGGGTGGGGGAACAAAAAGAATTAAATTAAAAGTCTTCTGGTTTCTTTTTATTCCTAATCCATTTTCTCTAGCACATAATCAGATTCCAACTACAAAATTCTCCCATACTTACAGACAATGTTTTGCCAGATCCAGTCTGTGCTACTCCAACCATATCCAATCCACTTAGAGCGACGGGCCATCCCTGAGCCTGAATAGCAGTGGGTTCAGTAAAATTCTGTCTTGCAATTACATCCATGACATTTGCTGCAATTACGAACAATTCAGTAAAATTTAGTGAAGCCAAGAGAAAGAAGAGAAACAAAGGGCAGGGATGGGGGGTGGGGAGGGGGACTCAAAACTAGCACTTACCAGGGAAGTTTGCTTCATAAAAATTCAGAACTGGCTTTGGGCAGTTGTGACCTCTAACCGTAATTTCCTTACTCCTTCTGTATGTCTCCACCTCTTGCTATAAAACAGATTATAATAATCTAGTAAGTACCACAACAACCTTCACTAATATGCAGCCAGGAGGCCCCTTTTAAATGGTTAATAAACCTTTAAGTCTGTGTCAAACCTATATCCACGTATGGAAAACCCACACAGCACAAGACCCACCAATTACTCTTAATACTTAACCATTCTAAGTAGAAAAATTCTAAGCCACCTGTTTCCAAAGTACCACCTCTTAACTATGAGAAAGCATTAATTTCCCCTAAGTTTGGTCATTTCCAAGACCTCTCTGTTCATATTTTTTCGTACTAGATAGAAACAATTACTGAGTTACAACCCAATGAAGCTACGTGAAATTACTCACTGCTGTGCGCCTAGCCAAATCAGGGTGTTCTTGATAAAAATTCTTCTCAAATTTGGGCAGCTCATCGAGATTCCACTTCTTTTTAACTAGTTTCTCCCCAGGGTTTCCAAATTTCTTTCCAGACAGGGGCCCTGCCCTACTTCCCCCAAACCGAGGTGCACCAAACCTGAAATTAAAACAAAAAAGTTACTCGTATTTTCAAACGTTTACCAAGCAGTTTAATATAGACTTACTGTCCCTTGGGACACACTGCAGGTAAATGAGAGACTTTGAGGTTTAAGGCTTAACACTGTCCTTACTGACGGCCATGATCTCAAAAGCCACAATTAGCACCATCTCCCTCACTTCCCGTTGTCCCCAATACACAATACTGAAGCCAAGTCAACAGCCCGGGATTTATCACGTCGGAAACTGGCTCCCCAAACGCCTGAAGTTCAGATTACAAGGATAGGCAACAGCTTGCGGCCCCTAGTCTCTCCCGTGAGCTTAAGAATTAAATGTCTAGGAGATAGATAATACAAGGAAAATGCTTAACAGCGACGCTATTTATCAGCTGTTTTCAAGCAAAACAGCTTTGGCTTTAAAGAATAATGGGACAGCACCAGCAATAAGACCAGAACAAGGACGGTGGTCTCAAAGACACTTATGCAAGCCTATCGAATTGGGATCCCGCGGAAGCGCTCCCGATCAAGATAGCAAAATTATATAACGCAAAGAAAAAACGGAGGAGGAGCTGGCAACTACCGGGGGAGGAGTCCCGGACCGGGCGGCGTTCCCGCTGGGGCGGCGCTTCCCCCTTTGTCTCGCATTTCTCTCTGCGCCACATTTTCTCGACGCTGCCATTTTGAGCTCCTCCGCCGGGCGGGGTAACAAAGGCGCCGCCGCCATGTCCGACGCCGGCATTTTGTACCCGCGACTCAGCCACATGGCCGATTCCCGCGGTGCCGGCCGCCCTCCTGCCCCCGCCGCATCAATGGCTTCGGAGGCGACCCCCTCGGCTACCACAGAACTCCCGGGGCCCCTAAAACACCTCCCGAAAAGATGCACCGAACAGCGGTGACTTCGTTCTCCTGGAAGCGTCGCGCTTCCCTTCCACCGAAATACGCTCCTCCGAGTTCTTCCCAACAGCTGCTCTACCGTCGGGGCGGGGGGGGGGGGCTTCGACACCCTCCCCCTCCCCCCCGCCAACAAAAGGCGAGCTTGGAGACCGTTAACAGGAAAACATCCCTCACTCAGTTTTGGACAGGTACCAAAATGTCAAAAACCTTCGATTAATAAAGCCTAACAATAGACCAAAAAAGGCAAATTCCTGCCGCCCCCACCCGCTGCCCCCTTCATCGGCTTCCCATCCCCCACTGCCGGGCCTGACAAGTCCGTTCCCATACTCACCCTCGATCCCGGCCGCGGTCTCGGTCACTCGAATAACCCGACATGGCGTCAATGGTTGCGGTTGGTGGGGAACAAAGTGGAGAGAATCGGGTGCGACAAGTCGCTGCAGGTGGCTTTGGCGATAGCAAAGCCTTGCGGGGGCGGCAGCGGCGGAGGGGCAGCGATGACAGGAGCCGAAACTGCTCTACAAGAGACCGGTGGAAATGAATGAGGTGCCGGCCGCGTCCCGGCAGCCGGTTTTATAGCCTGGACCGCCTCCTCCGCCGCAGAGAATGCTGGGAGCCGCTCTATGACCTAATCACCCCGCCCCTGCGCAGAGGCCGCAACGCCCGCCGGCGTTCCGGGATCCGCCATGTTCTCGCCCACCCCCCCCTCCCCCTCCTTCAGAGTGGCCGGGTTTGAGGTCCCTTTCATAGCTGGGCCCACCTACATTGAGATGCCTCAGCCTACACACTCCTCTTCACCTTTTTTTCGTCTTTCCACCCCTCAAGGAAGCCACCCGCCCTTTCCCAGGTCCAGCCCAGCCGACAAAATGGCCAGCACAGGCCAACCCACTCTGCCCACTTGGAGATGTTTACGTCTTCAAAGAGCTTTCACGCCCCTAACCAAGTGAGACGGGAAGGCGGAGCCTGACATTGTCACGTGGCTGCTCCCGCCCATCGGCTAAGCGAACCGCACTACTTCGCCACTTGGCGTCGGCGGAGGAATACGAAACAAATAGCTCACCGGAAGTGCCGTACTAATGCCCCCGGGAGACCGCCCAGGGCTGCTGAGTGACCCGGGCTGTCAAACCCACCCACCTGAGAATCCCTTAGCGGGATCTTGCCCGCGGAGAATGGTATCCAGAGCCCACAAACCGCCGCCTCGGCTCGTGCTGCGATAGGAAGTGTTCCCGTGATGACCAATCAGCAGCGACAAGCCGTTTTAACGTCCCTCCCCCTCTCACCCACTGCCCTTTAGTTTCGTTTGCCCCCCCCACCTTAGCAGTGCGTCTGCGCTTTGAGGCCCTTCCGGGACTCCGTCCACCGCGCGCCCAGCTGGGGGTCCAGCGGTGACCCGCCTCCATGACATGGCTGGCTCAGAGGCTGGTGAGTCTCGGCTCGGAGCCCCGGTGTGTGTGGACTGAAGCCATTTAAGTCCCCGAACGTCCCTACCCCTTTTATATTGAATCATCTGGCTGAACTTCCTTGAGTCTGGGTTGCCCGCGGGGCTGGTGACAGACACCCCGTCGTAGTGAGCGGCTTCTGTGGGTGTTTTAGCCTCACTGTCGCTCAGCTTAGAGGCTGTGGAGCGCGATTGTGGGGTGTGGAGAGAAGGACCCGGTGGCGAGGCGCGCAGCGCGCCTACAACCTGGCTGCAAAAAGGGCAGTCAAAAAGCTGCTTCTTGGGACTTGTATTTCTCTGGGGAACGCAGCCGCTGTTAGCGCGCGCTCTGGTTCTTGAACTGTGGAGACTGAGGCCATACCTGCATGTGCATTGTGCATTAAACTTTTGGGGAACGGCAGTCTGAAGATCTGCCAACGCTCCTGCCAAAGTAGACTAGTGGTAGATTTTTCTCCTCAGTGCCCTCTGGAGTTACAGGCTTTGTCTAGCAACCGCTTTTTGAAGAGCGAGTGGGTTGGGTTGTCTGGGACGCTTTCCTTTCCTCAGGACACCGTTCAAACCGCTTGTCGTGGTTTGGTCAGCTGTGAGAAGTGGGCTTGGGGAGAGGGAGATAGCGTGCCTTGACCCCACACATCGTTATTTCTAGAACATGCTGAATATGTCAAATATAGAATAAAAGGACTTTCTCCTTAGTCGCCAGGTATATCAGGGATCGAATAAGTCAGACTTCCTTAAATTACCTTAGTTTGAGAAAGTCTTGAAGTAACCTTGCTAATTCCTACCGTATCTGGGGTGAGGTGCGGTGGTACACAGGAAACTTCAACAGTGTTGGTAATGTGCTAGTTCTGAATTTAGGGGCGTTTTTATGCATGTTCTGTGTTTTATTTCTTATTCATTAAATGTAATTAAAAAAAAAACTAACATGTACTGTTGGTGTCATTATTTCAGATTTTAACAGCCTAAGTTAATCACCACCTATTTGGGCACCAGAGAAATTCAGACTTGTACGAGATAATTGGGTAAAAACATGACTAATACCGTTGGGAATTTGAAGCAGCATCTACTAATTAGTGTCTGATAACCTCAACTGTCGTTAACAAACTGTCTCGTTTATGACAGATATTCCCGTTGACTTGTATGTTTTAAATAAAAACAGCTAGGTATAGCTGGTAAAATAAGAAAAGAGGTAAAAATAAAGATCCAGTAAAAGCTGGATTTGCAGCATGGTTTTGACCACATTAAAATTCTGGTACTCTGGAAGTCATCCTAAGAAATTAAGTATTTTCAAAAATCGTGCCTCAGAGGGTCTTTGAACTTCTACAGTAATCAGATATTTTATCTTCTACATCATTCAATGTCTATCTTCCTGGGGGTTGACTTTTTCTAGTGCTATTTAAGGCTGATCTTTTTCCTTTCCTGACAGAGTGGATAATCGTTGCCAATAACCTTCTTTTAAAATGTCATATACACCTAAGGATACGAGAACTAGAAGATTGTGATGCTAATGTTTTTATTGCCCTTTACCAATCCATTTTGGGAGAAAAGGTACCAGGTAAGGGTATTAAAAAGTGGGAGTAATAGTGACTACATCTTAGGCCAGGAGTTTTGAGAGCCTTCAGTTAGATCTTATGGTAGTTCTAAAATCTTGAGTTTTTTTCTTTGTTTATATCTTTATTTCTATCTAACTATTGTATTCATTATCTTAAGTACCTTAATGAGACCCAGACATAGTAATAGCCTTGGTCAAATCATGTTTGCGTGATCTGGGTCATTTTAATTATGCCTAATACTTTATGAAAGTGACACATTTTCTGTAAATGTATCTTCAAAGGTTCTAAAATTGAGTGGAACTTGGAAACTTGTTGAGTCTTGTTATTTAACCAGTATTACAGATACAAATTGATGTTTGTCCTGCATCCCTGGTTAAGTATTCATCTTCCTCAATACTAGTGGAGAAATTCTAAATATAAGTTGATGTTAATATCTTTCCTCAGTGTGGTGTATATTGACCTTTTAAATCATTAGGCCGGTAATTCCTACTAGGCTGCTTTAACAAAATGTACAAGAACTCTCCTTTTGTACCTGTTGTGGGTTTTTTCTCTCTCATGAAAAGCAGCCCACGATTATGGGTTAAAGTCTCACTTCATGTATTGCTTCCCTTATTAGAGTATTAGCATCTCCTTGAATTTAAGGATCTCTTTATCTTTCTGTAGTTCGGTGCTTATTGTAGAGCATGTTCATTTATATGTTGATTGACTAAGTATTCAGCTAAGAGAGGTACTATATAGATAGAAATCAGGCTCTGTTAGCTTTATCTGTACTTTATAAAAGCCTGTTCTGTTTGCGTGGAGCTTGCTCTTGTAGCAGTTAACTTCACTTAGAAGCCTGGTCAAAGACCATGACAACTTGGGCCCTCAGATGAAAAATTATGTAGCTTTTTTTCCACAGACCTCATAGCTATTCCCAGGAGTCAAGAGGATGAAGCTCACAATGTACAAGCAGTAATTGATTCACTGGCCTTGGATTACCTACAAGTCAGCTTGTCTCACATAACAGGTTGGTATATACTTAACCATTAAATAATTTTGCATTTTACTAAAATAATTTATTAGGTAGAATTCTGTACATGGTTTAGTTAACCAAATGAGTAAGCTTATAAAATAGACCAAATGGCAACACTGAGCCAAGACAATTGACTGGTAGAATTACGGCACCCATCCTTGAGAGTTTTTTTAAAGGACAGTCAAACATTGAGTTGTGATGGACCTGTGAGTATCCTAGCTGGTCATCTGAAGTATGTTTGTTGTTGTTGTTTAAGATTTTATTTATTTGGGAGAGAGAGAGAGAGAGAACATGAGAAGAGGGAGGGTCAGAGGGAGAAGCAGACTCCCTGCCAAGCAAGGAGCCTGATGCAGTCCTCTTGATCCTGGGACAAAGGCAGTTGCTTAACCTACTGAGCCACCGAGGCACCCCATTGTTTTGTTATTATATTTTTTTGTTTTGCTATTTCTTTTGGAGCCCAATGTGGGGCTTGAACTCAAGACTCTGATATCAAGACCTGAGCTGAGATCAAGTTGGACTCTAAACTAACTGAGCCACCCAGGTGCCCTGTTATTTAGTTATTTTAAAGCAAATATGCTGCTTGTTTGTAGTAGGTAAAAATCAGCAACATCTAAATGTCCACTAAATAGGGACAGGTTAAATACGTTATGGTTGCTCCATACATGGAATTACACTGCCACTGTGAAAGATTTTTGATGATGCTATTATGTAAAATGTTTCATGTTAGTGCAACAGTTTCCAGTGTATATAGTGTCAGAAGAATGTGCAGAGTATGGTGCTACTTGTAGAAAACAAAGGTGAGGAGAGTAAATATGCAGTTGATTGCTTGCAAAAGGACTATTTCAAAGCGTGTGCAAGAAACCTATAATACTGATTGCTTCCAATAAGAGGAACTTCAGGACTACAGGATGAGGGTGGGATGAGATTTCATTATATATCTTTTGCACTTTTGAATTTTAATTTTTGTTTTATTTCATTTTTGCAAGAGACAAAGAATGTGTGTGTATAAATGCAAAGGAGGGGCAGAGGGAGAGGAGAGAAAGTCTTAAGCATGCTCCACGCCCAGTGTGGAGCCTGACCTGGAGCTTGATCTCAAAACCTGAGATCAGTACCTGAGCCAAAATCAGGAATCAGATGCTTAACTGACAGAGCCACCTAGGCACCCTGCACTTTCTGAATTTTAAATCCCATTAATATATTGTCTATTCAAAATAAGTAAAACTAAATTGTGAACTTTTTTTCCAAAGTAAAGTATATCATACTTGTATTCTAAAGCCAAATTTACTAAATATATTTATAAATCTTTATATTTTATATAATAAGACAGGATTATTTCAGTAAATTATTCCAGGCTAAGGAAGAGAGGGAATCTGTGGGTTTGAAACTATATTTGAATCCCTAAGAGAAGGCTTACACTATTGGTTTGTTCTTTGACAGTTAAGAGAGAGAAATGTTAATCAGGATAGGTCATTTACATCTCTCAATTTAATACTGATGACGAACTTTTCGGAAAATACTCTGGCTTAAATTTTTGAGTGCAGTTCTGAGTGACTGTGGTAAATTTGTTTGGAGATAATTCATTTTGAAGGATAATCCAAGGGTTTTCCTGTTCTTTTGCAATTTGGAATTGCTTTATCACTTGAATAGGGCAATTTCTGGTATTTGTGCTTTTTAAACCTACTGTAGCAAGGTTGTATCTGCATATATAACTTTTTAATGCAGAGCTACTCCCGACAACTCAAACCTGCCCCATGAAAAGTTGCAAAACTGCTTACCTCTTCTGGTATACGGCAAAGCATCTTTTTACTCCTTGTGTTCTGTTTAAAGCAATATCTCCTGTACCACGAAGCACTGTATTCTGGCGGGTGGTCTTAGTTGCTGGGTTGGCAGAGGATGCTCCCCATCCTGGCAACTGAGAAGTTATGAGTATGCCCTTGGGGTATACTTGTGTATCTTGTTAAGTCAGAAAAACATAAGGCTTAAGAACAAGATTTTTGTTTGCTTTAAACAGAAAAAAAAATTGTCAAATGTTGTCCATCTGTACTAGTAGTTTTGTTGAACATCACATTTCTGGTTTAGGTTTGTTTTGCATCATCAAGTTTTGAATGGCTAGATTCTCTCAAATGCCAAATTTCCATTTTGACTCTCCCTTTCTGGTTTGAACTTCTGGTTTGAACTGAGAATGCAGGCATGTTCTCCCGAAGGACAATTCAGGTGTCTCAAGTTAAATTCCGTCCATACCTTATGTTGATTAGAGTCCATTTTAGGTGACACTAAGCATGCCAGTTTTCCATGCTTTTACCAACCCATTTCTTGTCAATATTTCAATTTAGCGTTTATTAAAAATTTATTATGGGCCAGGTATTGTGCTAAGGATTGTTTAAAGATTAACTTCTGGGTATAAAGTGGATGTGGTGGGAGATTAGACTGGAGAAGTGGGGGGTGAGGTGAAATTAAAAAGGGTTTTATAGGGGCGCCTGCGTGGCTCAGTGGGTTAAAAAGCCTCTGCCTTCGGCTTAGGTCATGATCCCAGGATCCTGGGATTGAGCCCTGCATTGGGCTCTCTGCTCAGCGAGGAGCCTGCTTCCTCCTCTCTGCCTGCCTCTCTGCCTTCTTGTGATCTCTGTCTGTCAAATAAATAAAATCTTTTAAAAAAAAAGGGTTTTATATGCATGGATAGTCTATTTATTATTTCAGTATTTATTTCAGTATTTATTTATTATTGAAGTGTAGTTGACTTGCAAAGTTATGTTGGTTTCACGTGTACAACATAGTGATCCAGCAGTTCTGTGTATTATACAGTATTCACTGTTGATTAGTGTAGTTACCATCTGTCACAATACAATGCTAATTACAGTATTATTGACATTATTTCCTTTGCCTTTTTCTCTGTGACTTGTTTTATAACTGGAAGTTACACAAACTGTATATAGAGTTATACAAACTGGAAGTTTGTATGCACTGGCAATTTCTAATTAAGAAAATGACATGATGCATACAAAATGAACAGAAGTTAACAAATAGAAAAAATGAGGGATTCCTGGCAAAAGTATCCCAACAAGTTTTTTATATTACTCTGCTACCATTATCTTCAGAACAAGCTACCATATAGAAGTAGGATCTCACAATCTGAAACTGTGTTCTGTCCTGGCATTTTTTTTTGCTAGCCTAATAAAGTTCTGCTTAGATGCTTTATATATTGGTATACATGTTACTAGGGGATGTTTTCTTAAGTCCACTTGCTTTGTTTTTTGATAAAGGAAAGGATATGCCAATTATCAAAGGTTATATTCAAGGCTGCTTCTTTTGTTTCTTCAAATATAATCAGGCCTCAGAAAATTTATGTTTTTGGGTGCCTGGATGGCTCAGTCAGTTAAGCGTCTTCCTTTGGCTCAGATCATGATACTAGGGTCCTGGGATAGAAGCCTACATCCCTTCCTCAGCAAGGAGTCTGCTCCTCCCTCTGCCCCCACCCTGCTTTTGTGCTCTCTTTCACTCTCTCAAGTGAGTAAATAAAATCTTCTAAAAAAAAAAAAAAAAGGAAAGAAAATTCATGTTTTTATTATTTATATTATTGTTTTTCCTGACTTTATAATTCTTTTATCTTGAATAGTACATGGTGCTATATTCATTTCAAAATTATGAGGCTTTCAATTTCTTGGTTAATATTTTTAATTAACTCTTTATTCTGTGTTTAGGAGAAAATATAGTGAGAGGAGATAAAGAATCTATTAAGAATCTGCTAGAAATATTTGATGGGTTGCTGGAGTATCTTACAGAACACATCAGTGAGACATCTCATGAGAAAAGTAAGTTTAAAAATAGAAATTTGATTTGGTTTATATTCTACATTCTACATCCTGTCCCTTTTTGCCTTTTTTCTTTTTGCCTGTTTTTCTTCATAGGAATTGGAAACACTAATGCGTATACCTGGTAAATTTAATCATAAATTAAATCTCAATTCTTACTGTTCTTTGTGGTTGAGAAAAACTCTCCTAGACTGCCACCATGTCCTTTGTCAGTTTGGTTATTGCTTATAAATTACTTTAAAGCTAATCTATGATAGCTAAATTCTGGCCAAAATTGCCTATTGTCCTATTATTGCATGACATTATTGACTATAATTTCTTCTGTCAGAACTGCTATTTTTGTTACAAATTTGGATTTTGCTAAAGCATTAACAGGAATTGTAATGTGTGGTTTTTTGTTTTCGTTTTTGTTTTTGTCTTTAACCTATGTTTAGGTTTGTGACAGCCTGAACGTTTTATTTTAGTCTTCCGGTAATCCAGTTTCCCAAATTGTAACAATTTGTTGTGTGAAGTTTTTATTTTATGGTTTTTAATGGTAATATAAAGATTAATAGTGCCATTTTATTTTCCAAAAGGCTTATGGTTTTTTAAAGTGGATCAGCAATATATAAAAGCTCTTTATTATCTTTGGCTCAATTTATCTAATTCCTAAGAATTTATCCTAAGGAAGTATAATATAAAAGAAAAGTGCTTAAAGGTCTTTACTGCAGTGTTATTGAAAAGAAAACAAAGAACCGTAGTGGTTTGAGATTGGTTGAGTAAAAAATGCTCTATGTCATGATTAGAGTAATATATGACCCCTGTAAGAATGGATTTACTATTTTGAAGTTATCCAGCATGTTTTCAGCAGCAGTAGCAACCAACATAAATTCTAATATGAATGAAGACAAAAATTTGGGTAGGCTTATCATTCTTCTCACATGGTTGATGGTGAGACCTGTACTGTGATTATAACATTTGAAATTAACCTTAAACTCTTTAGAGATAGTTTTCTACCTTTTATCTCTATTGCTGAAAAGATTTAAAAGTATATGTAGGAAGGAAAAATTGCCACACAAGATACTTATTTCAAAAACTTTGAATGTTCTAAATGTGGAGTATTTTGAGTGTTTAATGTATGTTCAATATGTACCAGCCCACGTACCCTGGGAGGATTCAAAATTGCATGCCATGTGTATTGCTCTCACACCTATACTCAAGTCAGGAAGACAGCCATAAATACATAGAATAGTCCCCCCAGATATGCAGTTTACTTTCTGCAGTTTCAGTTACTTGCAGTCATCTTCTGTCCAGAAGCAGATGATCCTCCTGACATACTGTCAGAAGGTCATAATAGCCAAATGCTGTATTGCAGTGCCTCATCATTTACACACTTCATCTCATCACATAGGTATTTTATCATCCCACATCTTCACAAGAAGGGTGAGTACAGTACAATAAGATATTTTGACAGACCACTTTTTTTTTTTTTTTTAAGAGACTGGAGAGAGAGTGAGAGAGAGCATGAGAGCAGAGAAGGTCAGAGGGAGAAGCAGACTCCCTGCAGAACTGGGAGCTCAATGCAGGACTTGATCCCAGGACTCGGAGATCATGACCTGAGCCGAAGGCAGTGGCTTAACCAACTGAGCCACCCAGGCACCTGACATTTTTTTTTTTTTTTAAGATTTTATTTGTTTGACAGAGAGATCACAAGTAGGGAGAGCAGCAGGCAGGGGAGGGGGGGAAACAGGCTCCCTGCTGAGCAGAGAGCCCGATGGGCTCCATCCCAGGACCCTGAGATCATGACCTGAGCCAAAGGCAGAGGCTTAACCCACTGAGCCACTCAGGCGCCCCAAGCGACCACATTTTTATAACTACTGTTGTAGTATATTGTTGTAATTGCTCTATTTTATTATTAGCTATTGTTTATCTTAATGTGCCTAATTTAGAAGCTAAACTTTGTCTAGGTGCAGGAAAAAGTGTATATATAGTGTTCAGTACTATCCATGGTTTCAGGCATTCTTTGGGGATCTTGGAACATATCCCCTATGGATAAATAGGGACTCTTCTACAATAAAAACATTATAGGAGAATTGGGGGGAGAGTGAAAGACATGTGAAACTCACCTAATTCAAGGTTATCAGTAGGTATTTTGATGCTCTAGTCATTTTAGCAGCAAGATTAAGAGGTAGAAAACTACCTTTAGGTGGAGATTGATTTAAAATTTTATACTGACAGCAGCAGTTTTTCCAATGCAGTACTTGATTGTAAGTAGGAGAGGGATGATAATGGCTTGGTCATGGATAGGGCTGTGGGGATGGAGAGAGGAGCACAGAACTGAAAGATACTTACATGTGAGTCTGGTAATAGTGAAATGCTGAGGCAGGGGGAGAGAAGGGATATTTCAAGGGGAGGTCAGTAGAATGCGGTGAACTTAGGGCTGCTAGGAGGGAGTTGCACAGATGGGGCCTCCCTGTGTGGTAGTACCTGAGTTGGGCAGTGTTTTCTAAAGTCTGATTCTCACCTTTGCAGGTCCAAGTTGATATGGCAATATTACCTAGAGCTGAGCAGATTCTTCAAAATGCCAGTTAATAATGGGAAGTAAATCTTTATTATCATGAGTCTCATCAGGTATACAGAGCAACTTTTTCCTGTTACCTGAGCTAGCATTATCGCTTACTTAAACTGTAAGGACAAAGAATTTGAAAGGAGGTCTTGAGTCAGTGCTGCATTATGCCCCTCATTGTTTGAAGCTCTCAAAGCCTCAGTTTTCTCATCGGAAATTCTTTCATGGCTACAGTGAAGGTCGAATAAGTAGATATGCATAAGTTTAGCTCTCAGTTTAGCACTGAGCCAAGCTTGAGTAATTGAGTAAATGCACAATGAATGTTAACTAATATTATTAAAACGTTTGTTGAATATAGCAATAGAAAAAAATGAAGGTGGATGTTCAAAGAAGGAATCTCTAGAAATGTATCATAGGAGGTTCACCCACATACCTCCTGAAATTACCTTGCTAGTGAGTTCCTGCCACTGGTGAAAGTCTGTTTCCCTGATATGTTGGGGTAGAAGAAAAGAGTGATCATCTTAAGGAAAATTCCATTGAATCCTTGAAGTAGTCTTACTCTTAGGTTAGGGGAGTGATAGTTTTGGAGCCCGAGGTAGGCTAACACAGTCATGTTGTTCTGAAGCCGCAACCTAGTCCTCTTACCTCAGACATTCCTTACAGATAGAAAGGTGTTTACAAACAATAGAGAATGGACCTACCACCTAGCTGAAAAAGAAAACACTGCTAATACAACTGCAGACCCTGCTTTTAAACACTTTTGTTGTTTCTTTGTTACCCAAGTAATATGCTCATCACAGGTGATGATTTGGTTCTTTCTAATTTCATGTTCACAAGAGCCCAGTTTACCAGGAGAGAATGAGGGTGCCTTACTGTTCTTACCTACCTACCGCAGTATAATAATAGCATTATTAATTTGGGGGATTTTGATACTGTTTTTGCCTATTCTAAACAGGTGAAACTGGACAGAGTTTTAAAGAATCCCATCAAGGAGAACTTTTGGAAGAGCCAGAAAGTACTAAGGAATCCAAGTCATCATGGAAAAGGGTTTCTTTTGAGAGGTAGCACTCAGTGTCTATAAATTTAATGATAGCAAATTATGCTTTTTTTCTACTAAGAATTGAAATGGCACACAATATACCAGAATAGCAGCAACAAACAAAACAAAATACAAAAAACTAGTGTAAAAATTTTACTACCTTCTCATATTTTAAACCTTCCTGAGGGAGTTTTAAGAACCATGAGTTGTATGTACTTAATTCTCAGTATTAAGCACCTACTTATTTTTAAATTTTTCCCTAGGTCATCAAAACAGTTTATGTTCCTTATAGAAAACTTGGAAAGTACAGAGAAATAAAAAACAAGCAGAAAAAAAAAAGATGAACTCTGCTATTCAAAACTGAATAAGTACTGTTGATGTTTTGTTATACTTTAGTTTTTTTTTACTATTTTGGGTTTTTTTTGGATTTAGTCATATTGTTTATATAATTTTTGCTTTTTGCATTTTAAAGTTTTACACATCAGTAGTCTTCAAGTTGTTAAAATTTTTGTCATAATTTTTAATCACCATATAACAGACCATTCATCTGTGTGCTTCATAATTGGCTAAAGCACTCCTCTAAATTGGAGGTGGTTGTTCCTGTGTTTTTTATGGTTTTTAAAAATGTGATACATACTTTTATCTATTCTGTAATTTATCTATTCTTTACTCTTTATGCTATTCTTTAAACTCAAAGAGAATGAATATTATAAGGCTATTAAAAGCAGTCGCTTTCTAAAATGTGATGGTTTATACATTCATTGGCAGTATAAAATTATTGGGTTACTGCACCCTCAAATCAGTATTGTTAACAAATATCAGAGTTTATTTTATTTATTCATTCATTCATTTATTTATTTTTTAAGGTTTTATTTATTTGACATGGAGATAGAGAGTATAAGTAGGCAGGGCAGCAGGGAGAAGGAGAGGGAGAAGCAGGCTCGATCCCAGGACTCTGGAATCACGACTGGAGCCAAAAGCAGCCGCTTAACCAACTGAGCCACCCATGCGCCCCAGCAAATATCAGAGTTTTAAAATTTCTGTGACTTTTATAGAAAAAATACAATGTCATTACAGGTTTGATGGTAGTTATAACTAGAGGTTGAATATGATGGTATGACTTTGTTTTATTTTTATTTTTTTTTTTTTTTACTTTGTTTTAAATATCTGATTCTCCATTTTTTTTAATGGAGTTGCTCTGATTTGAAAATCACAGACAGCGCTTTCCTTTTACGTATAGTACATTGTGGAAAATATGTCTTGAAGGAGACCACCAAAAGATGAATTTCCTGACTTTATTATTATTATTATTATTATTAAAGATTTATTTATTTATTTATTTGACAGAAATCACAAGTAGGCAGAGAGGCAGGCAGAGAGAGAGAGGAGGAAGCAGGCTCCCTGCCAAGCAGAGAGACTCGATCCCAGGACCCTGAGATCATGACCTGAGCCAAAGGCAGAGGCTTAACCCACTGAGCCACCCAGGTGCCCCTGACTTTATTTTTTATTATTAGATTTTTTTTAAAAAGTGCAAAAATGAAACAACACAAGAATATTTAGTTCAAAATTAATACCCTACCCAGACTCCACTCCCACACCCTTAGAGTATCCAGTATTTATTGTTCTCTGTGTGTGTGGATTCTCCTACACATTTAATCCTTGACACTTTTAATCCTTGACTGATATATGTCAAAACAAAACAGACAAGCAGCAAGAAGTGATAAGCAGTAGAAGAGAGTGTCTTGCCCTTCTTCTGCACATAACAGTGAACAGTCTGAATACCCATTAGGCAGACTATTTGGAAGAGCTCTCGGGGTCCTTCTCGGGAGGGGCCCTCTGTGTTTAGGCTGGGCCCCAGGTAAGTAAGGGAACTCTTTCAGGTGCTCCTTGTCATCTGAGGCTTTGGGCCCCTCTTGGGATGGAGATGAAACAGAATCCACCGGTGAAATAATTAGACTGGGAGACACGGCACACACCTTTTCTCTCAGAAGTAATGGTAAGTTGTTAGATGACAGTTATTGTTATTCAACATATATCTATGAAAATATAAATAGTTATACTTAGGAATGTTTATAGTTGAGAAGAATAGAGAGAGCTGTAACTCGATAGAATTGAATTTCCAAGAGCATACCACCATTATCCTAAATGTGAACAGTTACCTGAAATCAGTCAAGTAGGAGTCATAGACACATGGGCAAACAGGTGGATGCAAGTTTGTCATGTAATATGTGGGACTTGATACTCTGGGAAGAGACTTCTGGATGCAACATTCAGATTACCTAAGTGTAGTTTCTTAAACTGGGTGACACACTTCTTTCATGGTTTCAGCCAGCAAGTCTGTATATCCAGTGGCAATTTTTCTGCCAGGCATCAGGCCACATTTCTAATAGTCTGCTGCTCATATACAGTAAATCTGAATATCTCTTAGACCCCTTTTGAGCCTCCCACTTTGCTGTCCTCCTAACATCCCATTCCCTGTCCTGCCTACCTTAGTTGACATGCTCTTTTTCTGGCATCATATTGTTTCTTCTACTGGGGTGCTCTTCCTTCCTTCCTATTCCTGGCAAATTCACCCTACAAAGCCCAGCCTCCCCCATGTGTCTCACTCAGGTTCTAAGGTTCTGTATTTCTACGGTGCGGCCCTGTGTCCTTATTTTGGTAATAGCATTCCCATGTTGCATCGTTAACTTTGAGTATGTATATTAGGTACACTGCGTTTCAGGGACAGTAGCCACGTTATATTCATTTAGCAAATATTTAGTGCCTTCCCTGTGTTAGAGTGGTAACCAAAAGAGACACAAATCCCTTCCCTTGTGGAGCTTACATTCTACTTGTGGAGGCAGCCAACAAATAAGACAAATAAGTGAAGTATATAGTAAAATCATTCATATTTATCTTAGTATTCCAAAACTTTGCAAAACACCAGGCACGCAATAAGTTGTGAGGGGTTTTTTAATGGTAGAATAGGAATGCTAGAGAGGAACTAATTATATTAAGTTGGGAATCAAGTGGCCAAATTTTTATGCAGACTCTGCTACTGGCTGTGTGACTTTGGACAAGGCCCTTGTCTTTCTTGAGCCTCAGTTTCTTAATGTGTTAAATCAGAGAATTCAACAAACCATCTCTGAAATCCCTTTCAGCATTAATACTTTTATTCCAAAGAGTAAACACTGAATTCCAAGGAATTAATGCTCAAAGAACCTATGTCTGGAAGGTTAGACAGTAGACTAAAGACGTACTTGCTACTGGGAGGAGCAAAGTAAGGGAATGACCAGAGTGAAGTGTAGGTGATAATGTTTCTAGAAGGAAGAGAGTCTGATGGATTGACAGAAGGTGGAAGGGATGGTGATTTTAGAAATGGTGTTCTGTGATAGCAACTACCACAGAAAAAGGTTGCATCTGTAAAAAGTGAATTATTTTCAGATTTTAACTATTCAGATTATAATGCAATTAAGGCAAAAGGAAAGGTTGAAAGAAAAGCTAGGATAAGGTATTTGGGCTTGAGGTCATAAAGGGCTATGGTAACTTCCTCTTATATTTGGATCTAAGTTATCAGGTAACTGTCACCATATACATTCGTGGGTGTCTATTTAGACTTCAATTCCTAGGCTGTGAATCATTTTTTTAATTCAGGTAAAATTGACATGTAACATTGTTAGTTTCAGATGTACAACCTAATGATTTTATGTTTACATATATTGTGAAGTGATCATGACATAGGTCTAGTTAACATTTGTCACCAGGGAGTTGAAATTCTTTTTTTCTTGAGATGATAACTTTTAAGATCTGTCCTACTTGTATACTGTGTTCCCCTTACTTATTTAACTAGAAATTTGTACCTTTTGACCATCTTCAGCCAATTTTTCCTACCAGGGCCACCCCCCCCCCTTTTTTAATGAAATGTTATATACATTTATCATATAGGTATACTTATATAATTGAATTTTATTAATGCTTACAGTAGACAAGTTCAGAATCTTCCCAGTAATAAAACACTATGTCCTTAAAACAATCTAAAAATTATGGGGAGAGATTTGAGTGTGTCATTTTCAGTCTGACAAAAGTTCCAGATGGTAACTAAGCATGAGATTTTAGGAGAAATTTCATCAGAAATAAAGAGATTGAGTTTCTTGGTCATCCAAGAAACTAAAGAAGAAGTGGACCTAGGTAAGAGTGAATTAGCCTGGGGTCAAGCTGATGACAAATTCATTTTGGGTAGTAGAGAAATTGTGGACAATGTTAATGAATTTTGAACATTAGATCTCAGATGCTCTTCATGTGAAATAAGAAGTTATGGAGGGAGATGGACATATTTTTAAACATTTTGATGTGAAAATGCCATGTTGCACTGGATTGTGGAAAAGAAAAGCCCAAAACGATGTCTTTGCTGGCTTTTAAGAGACAAAATGAATGTCAGAAATTTTAAAATACACAGTGTCTTGGAATAAATTGCATGGAGTTTGGGATCTGTGCAAGGTGAATATTTCTGTTTGTAGTGATTATGTCTGTTGATCATTTGGTAACTGTGAGATTGGAGAGTACACATACCTTCAAAGTGAGGAATAAGTTTATGGTGAAGTCTTTCATTAAATTGAAGAAGACATAAATAGTCATTTGGAGAGGGGGGAGTCCTTAATCCACTTTGTTAGTGAAGAGTACGTGTACTGTATAGTTTCCGAAGGAACAAAGTAGATATTCAGAAATATTTTAATACAGCTCTGGGTGTAATACTATAAAGCTGATTAAAAATATTAAGCATTTAAAAATTAGACAAAACAATTTGACCTATAAATCTTTTTATGATGGTATCAGCCAAGATTTCTAGCTCAGAGATGTATCCCCATAACAGTGTCCTGCAATTCTAGCACCTCTTTGTATGTGAGTGTGTTCCAGTAACGCTATTTACAGTGGTTCCTGACTGGCTCAGTCAGTAGTGTGTGTGACTCTTGATCTTGGGGTTGTGAGTTCAAGCCTCACATTGGATGTAGAGATTACTTAAAATCTTGAAACAACTTGGGGCACCTGGGTGGCTCAGTGGGTTAAGCCTCTGCCTTTGGCTCAGGTCATGATCTCGGGGTCCTGGGATCGAGCCCCACATCGGGCTCTCTGCTCAGCATGGAGCCTGCTTCCCCCTCTCTCTCTTCCTGCCTCTCTGCCTACCTGTGATCTCTCTCTGTCAAATAAATTAAAAAAAAAAAAAAATCTTGAAACAACTTTTTTTTTTTTAATTACAAAAACAGTTGGTGGGTCAGATTTGGACGTTGGCCCATGGTTTGCCAACCCCTGACCTACAGAAAACCACTGTTAACATTTTGATTTCTTTCCTTACAGATACATAAATGTGTATCTCATGTGTGTATCTTTTCAAATGTAATCATAGAGTACATATTAGTAATTTTTTTAATTGAAGCATAGTTGACATACAATATTACATTAGTTTCAGTTGTACAACATAGTGATTTGGCTACTACATGTTATGCTATTCTCACCACAAGTATAGCTACCATTTGTCATCACACATTATTATAATACCATTGACTATATTCCTTCTCTTGTACCTTTCATCCCTGTGACTTAGTCATTCCATAACTGGAAGCCTGTATACCTTTCACTCTACTTTACCCATTTACCCATTCTCCCTACTTCCTCCTGTATAGAAACCATCAGTTCTCTGTGTTTGTGGATCTGTTTCTTTTGTTGCTTGTTCATTTGCTTTGTTTTTTAGATTCCATATGTACATGAAATTGTACTTGTCTTTCTCTGACTTATTTCACTTAGCATCATACTCCCTAAGTCTCTCCATGTTGTAAATGGCAAGGTCTCATTCTTTTCTATGATGAAGTAATGTGTGTGTGTGTGTGTGTGTGTGTGTGTGTGTGTGCGTGCGCGCGCGTGCGCGCGCATGTATGCATACGTGTACACCACATCTTCATTTATCAGTGGACACTTGGGTTATTTCCCTATCTTGGCTATTATAAGTACTGCAATTGGGATGCACATGTCTTTTCAAATTAGTGGGTTTTTTTTTTGTTTTTTTTTTTTGGGTAAATACACGGTAGTAGAATTACTGAATCATGTGGTATTTCTATTTTTACTTTGTTGAGGAACCTTCATACTGTTTTCCGTAGTGGCTGTACCAATTTCCGTTTCCATCAACAGTGCACAAGAGTTCCTTTCTCTTCACTTCTTTGTCAGTGCTTGTTATTTCTTGTCTTTGTCAGTATAGCCATTCTGACAGTTATAAGGTGGTATCTCATTGCGATTTTGATTTGCATTTCCCTTGATAATTAGTGATGTTGAGCACCTTTTCTTGTGTCTGTTGGCCATCTGTATGTTTTCTGTAGGAAAACGTCTATTCAGGGCCTGTGCCCATTTTTTAATCTGGGTTTTTCTGGTGTGTTGAGTTACATCATTTTTTTTTTTTTTTTTAAAAATTTTTTTTATTTTTTTGTCAGAGAGAGAGAGAGGGAGAGAGAGCAAGCACAGGCAGACAGAATGGCAGGCAGAGGCAGAGGGAAAAGCAGGCTCCCTGATGAGCAAGGAGCCCGATGTGGGACTCGATCCCAGGACGCTGGGATCATGACCTGAGCCGAAGGCAGCTGCTTAACCAACTGAGCCACCCAGGCGTCCCGAGTTACATCATTTTTTAAAAAATATATTTTGGGTATTAATCCTTTATCAGACATATAACTTGGAAGTGTCTTCTTCTGTTCAGTAGTTTGCCTTTTTACTTTGTTGATGGTTTCCTTCGCTGTGCAGAAGCTTTTTATTTTGGTATAGTCCCAATAGTTTATTTTTGCTTTTGTTTCCCTTGCCTGAGGAGACCTGTCAGAAAAATGTTACTAAAGCTGATGTCAAAAAGATTACTTGCCTGTGTTTTCTAGGGGAAGTTTTATAATTTCATGTCTCACATTTAGTTGTATAATACATTTTGCGGTAATTTTTGTGTACGGTGTGTTGAAGTACTCCAGTTTCACTCTTTTGCATGTAGCTGTCTACTTTCCTACATCATTTATTGAAGAGACTATTTTCCCATCGTATATTCTTACCTCCTTTGTTGTAGATTAATTGACCATATAAACATGGGTTTATTTCTGGGCTCTCTGTTCTGTTCTTTTGATCTTTTTTCTGTTTTTGTGGCACTTGTTTTTCTAAAGAAAAGTAGTATGATATAAATCTTTACTTTTAATTTGTATTAGTGGTTCTGGATCTTCCTCTCTCATAGTTACTAAAAGTAATGGGTAGTTTGAGCAATCAGACACAGTTCAATGATTGTCATTTGTGAGATTTTTATCCTCTGGGTACAGAACTCTTGGTTTTTAGTATAATAATTCAGCAACAAAAAAATTCTACCTTTAATATTTTCTTTTCTAGGTGCCGAAGGCCCTAATGAAATGCAGTCCAAAAAAGCCTCAACCGTATTGTATGAAGAAGCATTGCACCCTCCCTTATCTAGTTTTTTGTCCAAGAACAGAACATCCTTTGTTGAAAACAGTGAGTAGTAGTAGTGTGTTGTTAGTGAGTTAGAAACAATAGTTAGTTCCTGGAACAATTTCTGTTGCTATTAGCCTTTTTACAACTAAATGTTGTAAACATGAAAATGTTGTTGCTCTATACTTTATATGATTCTTTTTGGCTTTACATGATCATATCTGTAAATGTTTGCTATTAGTTATAAGCTCTGATTTCTTAAAATGTTTTTTGGTTGCATGTTTTACTTCCATTGTTTTATTATCTAACGTTTTCTTAAAGACTTTAGTACAGTATGAGTCTCTAATACATTAATATATGAGTTGGTGGTCTTCAGATTATTAGGGAATGATAAAATACAGTAATTTGAAAAATATTCTCATTTCTTACTGTTCTCTCTGGGATTTTACTTAGTATTACATAAAATCATTGTGGTTTTTTTTGTTTGTTTTTTTTAAAGATTTTATTTATTTATTTGACAGAGAGAAATCACAAGTAGGCAGAGAGGCAGGCAGAGAGAGAGGAGGAAGCAGGCTCCCTGCTGAGCAGAAAGCCTGATGTGGGGTTTGAACCCAGGACCTGGGATCATGACCTGAGCCGAAGGCAGCGGCTTAACCCACTGAGCCACCCAGGCGCCCCACATAAAATCATTGTTAATGTCTAACAAGTTTTATAACCTTGGATGAACCATAATTTATGTAGCTATTCTTCAAATCAGTTAGGTTTTTAGTATCTATAGGTATGTGTATATATTAAATGATGCATTTCTTAGAGTTTCATCTTATTGTCCACTTTATTTTTGCCAACCAGTGGAAATTCCTTCTGTGGATGTGATTCCAAGTGCTAGGAAGCTAGGGGAGCCTATTCGATCAGCTATTCCTTTACATCCACCCTACCACCCTTCAGAGCCTCGAGCACCCTGTCCCATAGGAAAGGAATACTTGCGTTCAAGTCACATCTCCCCTGCCATGAATTCTACTGGAGAGGACACAGCATTTTCTGTGGTAAGTGGAAAAGCTTGCTTATAATTAGATAGAAGTCTCTAGATTTAAGGAGGTCTCTGCTAGAATAGTAGTCAGGGATACACCGCTAATTAGAACACCGTACTTCTGAAATTTTACCTCCGCGTATATCTACATCTTCTGACTCTAAGGCAGGAGGGATGATTGTATAAAAAGGCTAATATTAAAAGCTAATGTGCATTATGTTTATTTTGTGTCATGCACAGTTATAGATATTATACAGGTATTAAATAATCTACTCCTCACAGTAGCTATGGGGTAGGTATGATTTTTATTTCCCATGGGCAAGCTGATATAAAGAGATTAAATATTTTGTCTCAGGTCATACACAGCAACTGTAGAGTCAGGATTCGAACTTGGTATTCTGGTTTTAGAACCCATATTCTATGTCCTTAGTTAAATCACTTAAACTTTTGTAAGTATAAGAAACTATAGGGGCACCTGGATGGCTCAGTTGGTAAGCATCTGCCTTCAGCTTGGGTCATAATCTCAGGGTTCTGAGATTGAGCCCCACGTCCGGCTCCCTGTTCAGTGGAGAGTCTGCTTCTCCCTTTCTCTCTCTGACCCTGCTTGTGCATTCTCTCTCTCAAATAAATAAAATCTTAAAAAAAAAAAAACAGGGGAAGGGATGCCTGGGTCAGTTAAGTGTCTGCCTTCAGTTCAGGTCATGATCCTAGGGTCCTCAGATCAAGTCCTGCGTCAGGCTCCTTGCCCAGCAGGGAGCCTGCTTCTCCCTCTGCCTGCTAATCCCCCCTGCTTGTGCACACGTACATACTCTGTCTCTGTCTCACCCTACCAAATAAATAAAATCTTAAGAAAAAAAAAGTATGAGGAACACTCATTCATATTCCTATTACAGTGTGAACTGCTATTAATACCTTGGCCTATTAGCTTCTACTCTTCTTCGAAAAAAAAAAAATCCCTTTTGGTTTTTTTGTTTGTTTGTTTTGTATTGTTTTTAAGATTTTATTTATTTATTTGACAGAGAGTACAAGTAGTCAGAGCAGCAGGCAGAGGGAGAGGGAGAAGCAGACTCTCCGCTGAGCAGGGAGCCCTATGCGGGGCTCGATCCCAGAATCATGACCCGAGCCGAAGGCAGCCGTGTAACCAACTGAGCCACCCAAGCGCCCCAAAAATCCCTTTTTGTAAAGTTATCCTGTCCCTATCCTAGAAATGAACAGCTAGGGATATGCAAAAGGTAAATTTGTAAACAATGATACATTCGCGTTATTAAAAATTCAAACAGTGGATAAAAAGTGCAAAGATGAAATAAAGATCATTAGCATTAGGTGGCTATATTCTTTGAAACATTCTGTGCATCTATTTCAGATAGGAGGGTGGATAGATAAAAGGGATTATAGGTTAATGGTTACACTTGGGAGAGTTTTAGGGGAGGATGGTAGAGCTTTTGATTGCTGATAATATTCTATTTCCTAACCTGAGTGGCATGTAAGTGGGAATATTCATTTTGAAATAATACTTGACCAGGACATTTAAACTTCAATAAAAATTTTTAAAATGTGATTGTATTATAGTTGTTATTTACTAAAAAGTGTTTAATTTTACTTTGGTAGAAGAGAAACGTAAGTGAAATTGAGAGATTCTTAAACACCAAATGCTTCTTCATAAGATTTCCTCTGAGATTAAGAAATAAATTATTAAATGAGGTGCCTGGGTGGCTCGTCTGCCTTCAGTTCAGATCATCATCTTGGGGCCTAGGATCAAGCCCCACATCGGGTTCTGCACTCAGTGGGGAGTCTGGTTGGGGATTTCTCTCCCTTTCCCTCTGTCCCTTCCCCACTGCATCCCCCCACCCCCTGCACACTTGCACCCTGCTCTCTCTCAAATAAATAAATAAAATAAGTTTTTGAAAAAGAAATTGTTAAAAACATGGAGTTTATATTCATATTTTAGAAGATTTTATCTTTATTTCAATTTTGGACAGTTTCTGTTGACTTCTTAATACCAAAGAGAATGATTTTAATACACTTGTGATTTATTCATTTTTTTCATTGCCCACGTGTAGCTGTAGCCCCTAAATTTTCATATTTGAGAACACCTCACCTGCCTTTATATTTGAATGGCTTCCTGACCCACAGTTTTTACCTGAGTACAAGTTTAGAAACATTGCTCTTCCATTCCTTTGGTATTAAGGATCAAGAGAGTATTTTGACAATTTTTTTTTTTTTTTTTTTTTTTGAGAGAGCGAGTGAGCATGAGCAAGGTGTGGAGGGGGAGGAGCAGAGGAAGAGGGAGAGAGAGCAGCTTAAGCAGGCTCCACGCCCAGTGTGGAACCTAAAGCGGGGCTCAGTCTCCTGACCCTGAGATGATATGGGCCAAAATCAAGAGTCAGACACCTAACCAACTGAGCCAACCCAGGCACCCTGACAAATGTGTGTTTTGTTTTTTTTTTTTAGAGATTTTATTTATTTATTTGACAGACAGAGATCACAAGTAGACAGAGAGGCAGGCAGAGAGACGGGGAGGCAGGCTCCCTGCTGAGCAGAGAGCCCGATGCAGGGCTTGATCCCAGGACCCTGGGATCATGACCTGAGCTGAAAGTAGAGGCCTTAACCCACTGAGCCACGCAGGCGCCCCACAAATGTGTTTTTAAAAAAGTAAAATAGGGGTAGAAGAGCATGCAACTCTTGATCTCAGGGTTGTAAGTTTGAGCCCTGCCTCAGGCTCAAATGTTGGGTGTAGAGATTACTTAAATAAATGAAAAAACTTAAAAAAAAAAAAAAAGTTAAACATGGAGAATAAAGGGACTGAGCTTTGTGCCATAGGTCCTCCCCCCCCCCAAAATGTTTCTATGTGCCATCTTTTGTAGCTTTTTCAAATCAACTCTCTTTTGTTTTTAATAGGACTCAGATAATAAAGTTCTCTTAACTTCTAAGTTGCCTAAAGATAGCAAACAGGAAATGTGTTCAGCTCAGATCCAAGGCCCTAGGACAAGGAAGTTTCCCAAAGGAAAAAGGTAACATTATTGCAGTCTGTTTCCAGTCCCTTTGCAAAGGCATTTGAAGAAGGGAGTATACTCTCCAGATTTAGCTCTGAAGACCGTATGAAATATTTGTTAAAAGCATGCATTATGGCACATTTGGCTACTTAAATGTCACATGGTCATTTTATTACAGATATGAAAGCAGACCTGCAGTCTCATCCTGGGATTCAGTCCTCTCCCAGAGGCCAAGAAAGAGGTTAACAGAACAAGAATTACATTCAGTTTCTGAGAAACTCTCTCAACGGCTCTCTGAACTAGATTGGGCAAGTCTTATTTTTTATCTATATTGAGTTTGCCATAGTTGGTGAATATTTAAGTGATCTAATTGAAGATGAACGCTAAGCTAAGGCACTAAAATTAGTTATGTCTTAGTTACTGTGAAAATGTTCCATAAATCAGGCAGGTAGGACATAGGATGAGAAGTCATCTCTTACTTAGCCTTTCATGATATAACCAAATTTGGTATGGATTTATCCTGATTTTTACTTAATTCTGATGAAAACTACTCGTTTAAGTGATTACATTAAAATCTTTATTTTAGATATGCCTGAGACAGTTTGGTATAAAATTAGATTTTGTGTAAAATTAGATCTCTTGATCCTCACAAATCCAGTATTACAATTTGGGGGTATCATTGAATAAATGTTTTAAATCCTTTTGTGATTTACTATAAAGTTTATTGAAACTGAATAGTCCATAGCACTGATATATACCTTCAAAAACTAAATATGCATAAGCATCTGAAAGTTATTAGTACCTAATTATGAGAAGAAGCTTTTTAAAGATTCTACTTTTCCAACTTGTATTCTGCTGAAATCAGTGAAAGATGTTGAAAAGTATTTTCTCAATAGATGTTAAAAAGTGCCCTGGGTGATCGAATTAAAGATAAGACTGACTATGAAGAAGACGGTATTGGAAATGAAGAGATGGAGAGTAGGAAGGATGAAACCCTGTCTCAGCACAGTGACAGCATCATGGAGTATGGGCCGAAGAAGCGAAGGCCAGGTACTTATCCCAGAGAAGCCAGGATAAGGATGTCCGCGGGATCCGTTTAGGGACTTCTATTTGTTTATGACTGGGTTTCTTATTTTAAATATTTCAGAAATATATAAAAGGTGAAAAAATAATAATACCTATATCTTCACCACCTAAAAGCAGATGCTAGTAATTATATATGCTTTACACCTTTTGAATTTAAAAATAAGAGTTGAAATCCCCTTTGTCCTCCCCACAGTCCATTTTTCCCCACCTTCAAAGAAACAACTCTTTCAAAGTTTATATCTTTTATCCCTGTTTTTATTTTGTTATTTTATTCAGATACAATTGACATACAACATCGTATTCACTGAAGGTGTACAGTATAATGATTTATTTATAGGTTGATTGATATTGATATAAATGATTGCCTCAGTACGTTAGTTAACATTTATCACTTCACATAGTTACAAGTTTTTTTCTTAAAGTTTTTAAGATGGGATTTTTTGCGACTTCCAGATATGCAATATGTTAACCATAGTCACCACACTGGACATTATATCTCCAGAACTTATTTATAATTGAAAGTTCATACCTTTTGACCACTTTCACGCCCACCTCTGGCAACCACCAGTCTGTTCTCTGTATCTATGAGTTTGGTTTTTTTAGATTCCACATATATATGAGATCATACATTATTTGTCTTTTTCTGTCCAACTTAGTGTCACTTAGCATAAGGCCCTCAAGGCCCATCCATATTGTCACAGATGGCAGGATTTCCTTTTTTTCCTATGGCTGAATAATATTCTTTTAAGTATTCTTCTTTATCCATTTATCTGTAGATGGGCACTTAGGCTGCTTCTCTATCTTGGCTATCGTAAATAATGCTGCAGTGAGCATGGGGGTCCATGTATCTTTTAGAGGTAGTGATTTCTTTTCACTACTGGGTACCCAGAAGTAGTGTCACTGGATCTGTACTATACTACATAGTGGCTGCACCAATTTACATTCCCCCTACCAGTGCACAAGGGTTCCCTTTTCTCTCCATTCTCTCCAACTCTTGGTATCTCTCGTCTTTTTTATCATAGCCATTATTCTAAACCTGTAAGATGACATCTCATTGTGATTTTGATTTTGATTTCCATGATGACTAGTGATGTTGAGCCTCTTCATGTACCTTTTTTTTTTTTAAAGATTTATTTATTTGACAGACAGAGATCACAAGCAGGCAGAGAGGCAGGCCGAGAGAGAAGGTGGGGAAGCAGGCTCTCTGCTGAGCAGAGAGCCCTGCGGGGCTCGATCCCAGGACCCTGGGATCATGACCTGAGCCGAAGGCAGAGGTTTTAACCCACTGAGGCACCCAGGAGCCCCTTCATGTACCTTTTGACCCTTTGTAGGTCGTCTGGGGGAAACTATCCAGTTTCTCTGCCCAATTTTTAATTGGATAGTTTTGGGGTTTTGTTGTTGTTTTGCTATTGAGTTGTATGAGTTCTTTATGTATTTTGGATATTAATTCTATATCAGATACCTGATTTGCAGATATTTTCTCCTGTTAGGTTGCCTTTTCATTTTGTTGATAGTTTCCTATGCTGTGCAGAAGCTCAATATTGTCCCATTTGTTGATTTTTGCTTTTGGTATCAAATCCAAAAAAATCTTTGCCAAGAGCAATGTCAAGTAGCTTACCTGCTGTCTTCTTCTAGGAGTTTATGGTTTCAAAGATCTTACTTTCAGATCTCTAATTCATTTTGGTTGATTTTTGCATATGGTATAAGATAGGTTATAGTTTCATTCTTTTGCATGTGGCTGTCCAGTTTTCCCAGTCCCATTTATTGAAGAGACTCTCTTTTCCCCATTGTATATTTTTGGCTCACTTGTTGTAAATTAATTGACCGTTTATGTGTGGGTTTATTTCTGGGCTCTGTATTCTGTTCCGTTGATCCTATGTGTCTTTTGTGCTAGTACTATATTGTTTTGACCGTATAGCTTTGTAATACAGATTGAAATCAGAAAGTGTGATGCCTTCAGCTTTGTTCTTTTTCAGGATCACTTTGGCTATTTGGGGTGTTTTATGGTTCCATACCAATTCTGTGATTGTTCTCTTTCTGTGAAAATACCATTGGAATTTTGAAGGGATCACACTGAGTCTAGATGAATTTGGGTAGTTTGGGCATTTTAACAATATTAATTCTTTAAATCCTTGAGCATGGAATATCTTCCCATTTATTAGTGTCTTCTTTCATCAATGTCTTAAACAGTTTCAGTATATAGGGCTTTTATTTTCTTGATTAAATTTATTTGTAGGTATTCTATTCTTTGTTAAATTATCATTCAATTATAGTTAACATATAGTGTTAATTACTTTAAGGTATATAGTATAATGATTCAATAATAATGCTGTACATTTCTTAGTGCTTATCAAGATAAGAATACTCTTAATCTCCTCTTTTTTACCCATCCTCCACCCACCTCCCCTCTGGCAACCACCGGATCTCTGTATTTGAGTGTGGTTTTTTTTGTTGTTGTTGTTTCTTTTTTTGTTTCTAAATTCCACATGTGGGTGAAATCATTTCTCTTTTTGATTTTTTTTAACTTTGCATTCTACTCTCTAGGTCATCCATGTTGCAAATGAGAAGATTTCTTTTATTCTTTTTTATGGCTGAGTATCTTTTAAGCAATTGTAAATGGGATTGTTTTCTCTTAGCATATAGTTCTTAGCATATAAAAAGCAATTGATTTTTGTATACAGATTTTTATATCCTGCAACTTTACTGAGTTCGTTCATTCTAACAGTTTTTGGGTAGGGTCGTTAGCGTTTTCTGTAACTACTGTAGTGTCATCTGCAAATACAGAGTTTTATTTTTTCTTTTTCAATTTCAATGCCTTTTTTTTTTAAGACTTTATTTTTAAGTAATCTCTACACTCAACATGGGGCTCAAACTCACAACCCTGAGATCGAGTCACATGCTCCACAACTGAGCCTGCCAGGTGCCCCTGAATGCCTTTCATTTCTTTTTCTTACCTAATTGCTCTGGCTAGGACTTCCTCTACTGTGTTGGATAAGAGCAGTAAGAGTAGGTAGGCATCCTTGTCATGTTCCTGAAATTAGAAGAAACACTTTCAGCTTTTCACCATTAAGCATAATGTTAGCTGTGGGCTTATCAAATATGGCCTTTATTATGTTGAGGTATATTCCCTTTATACCCAGTTTATTGAAAGTTTTTACCCTGAATGGATGTTGAATTTTGTTAAATGCTTTCTCTACATCTGTTGAGATGATCATATGTTTATCCTTCATTTTGTTAATGTGGCGAGTCACACTGATTTGTAGATGTTGAACCATCTTTGCATTGGAATAAATTCCACTTCATGATGGTGTTCATGATTCTTTCACTATACGGTTGAATTCACGGGAGTTTCGGTGGCTCAGTTGGTTAAGTGTCCAACTCTTGCTTTTGGCTCAGGTCATGATCTCAGGCTAGTGAGATCAGCCCAGGCATTGGGCTGCATGCTCAGCAGAGTCTGCTTCTCTCCCTCTGCCTCTCCCCCTGCTCATGCACATACACATACACATACTTTCTCTCTCTAAAATAAATGTTTAAATATATCCATATACACACACATGTACACACAGTTGGATTCATTTGCTAATATTTTGTTGAGATTTTTGCATCTATGTTCATCCATATTTATTTTGCATCAGTATTCATCATTATGCCTGTAATTTTGTTGTGCTGTCCTGTCTAGTTTTGGTATCAGGGTAATGCTGGCCTTCTAAAATGAGTTTGGAGCTATTCCCTCCTCTTCCATTTTTTTGGAAGAATTTTAGAAGGATTGGTATTAATCCTTCATTTTTTTTTAAAGATTTTTTTTTTAATTTATTTATGACAGAGAGATCATAAGTAGGCAGAGAGGCAGGCAGAGGCAGGGGTTGTGGGGGGAGCAGGCTCCCTGCTGAGCAGAGAGCCCGATGCGGGGCTCGATTCCAGGACCCTGAGATCATGACCTGAGCCGAAGGCAGAGGCTTAACCCACTGAGCCACCCAGGCGCTCCAGGTATTAATTCTTCTTTAAATGTTTGGTAGAATTTACCAGTGAAGCTGTCTGGTCCTGGACGTTTTAGTTTGTTGGGTGGTTTTTGACTACTGACATAATCTTATTTGTAATTAGTCTGTTCAGATTTCTGTTTCTTCATGATTAATTCTTGGTAGGTTTGATGTTTTTAGGAATTAACCCATTTCTTATAGGTTGTCCGATTTGTTGGCATAAAATTGTTCATAGTAGCTTATGATCCTTTGTATTTCTGTGGTTTTTATTAGTTGTAATGTCTCCTTTTTAATTTCTAGTTTTACTTATTTGAGTAAAATTTTTCCATGATTAAGTCTAGCCAAAGATTTATCTCTATTTTATCTTTTAAAAACAAGCTGTTAGTTTCATTGGTCTTTTCCCCTTTTTTGGTGTTTGTTTCACATATTTCTGTTCTGATCATTGTTACTTCCTTTCTTACAACTTTGGGCTTCTTTTGCTTTTTTTTTTTTCTTTTTTTCCCTAGTCCCCTTACGGAGTAAAGTTGGGTTGTTTGAGATCTTGTTTCTCTTTTTTTCTTCCAATTTTATTGAGATAGAGTTGACATACAGCACTGTGTATGTGTACGTATGATGACTGGATTTACATATCTTGTGAAATGATTACCAATAACTAATTAACATCCATTATCTACAGATACAAGAAAAAGCAAGTTTATTTTTCCCTTGTGTTGAGAACTCCAAAGACCTACCATAACTTTCAAATACGGCAGAGTTACCTATAGTCATCATGTTGTACACTATATTCCTAGTACTAATTCATCTTATAACTAAAATTTTTTACCTTTTGACCACCTTCATCAAATTCCTCCCCTCACCTTCCTCTGGTAACCAGTAATCCAATATTTTTTTGTATGAGTTTGCCCCCCCCCCTTTTTTTTAAGATTCCAAGTATAAGTGGTTTCTTATAGGTCTCATGTAGACCCTACATATAAGTGAGATGATACA